AGGAGGTAATTAATATTTTAGAATGATTTTTGATGATAAAGTAAATGCTGAATTAACTTTTTTTTTCAAAATAGGGAGTAATTAATATTTTAGAATGATTTTTTATGAAAAAATAAATGCTGAATTAACTTTCATATTCAAAATAGATAGTAATTAATATTTTAGAATGATTTTTAATAAATGCTGAATTAACTTTCATATTCAAAATATTTGATAATTAATATTTTACAATGTTTTTGATGAGAAAATAAATGCTGAATTAACTTTCATATTCAAAATAGGGAGTAATTAATATTTCAGAGTGATTTTTGATTAGAAAATAAATGCTGAATTAACTAACTTTCATATTCAAAATAGCAAGTAATTAATATTTTAGGATGATTTTTGATGAGAAAATAAATACTGAATTAACTTTCATATTCAAAATAGCACGTAATTAATATTTTAGAATGATTTTTAATAAATGCTGAATTAACTTTCATATTCAAAATATTTGATAATTAATATTTTACAATGTTTTTGATGAGAAAATAAATGCTGAATTAACTTTCATATTCAAAATAGTTGGTAATTAATATTTTAGAATGATTTTTGATGAGAAAATAAATGCTGAATTAACTTTCTTTTTCAAAATAGGGAGTAATTAATATTTTAGAATGATTTTTGATGAAAAAATAATTTCTGAATTAACTTTCATATTCAAAATAGGAAGTAATTAATATTTTAGAATTATTTTTGATGAGAAAATAAATGCTGAATTAACTTTCATTTTTAAAATAGCAAGTAATTAATATTTTAGAATGATTTTTGATGAGAAAATAAATGCTGAATTAACTAACTTTCATATTCAAAATAGCAAGTAATTAATATTTTAGAATGATTTTTGATGAGAAAATAATTGATGAATTAACTTTCATTTTAAAAATAGATAGTAATTAAAATTTTAGAATGTCTTTTGATATGAAAACAAAATCTAAATATAAAATAGACAGTAAAATTTAATAAGAGTTGATAATAAGAAATTAGAGAAATAATGAACTTTGAAAAACAGATGGTAATTATTAGTAGAAGATAAATAAGACAGATAGAAAATAAGTTTAATTTTGAATATACAGCGAGTAATATTTTAGAAGAATCATTTTGATAGAGAGAGAATCTTATTAAAATGTATGAAATAGATAGTAATATTTTTGAAAGTTACTATATAACGTAGATTAAGTGTTAATTTTAATATGAAAACAGTGAGTAAGAGTTATGAAAGTAATTGAAAAATTGTAACTGACTAATTAACTATGTTAATACTAAACTAGATTGTAAAATATTTGAGAGATTTAAAAAGAATATAAAAAAATAAAAAATAATAATAGATTGCAATATTTTAAATAATTATTTATAAGAAATTCTTACTAAATATTTGAATAAAATAAATAGGGTATATATATAACACATTGAAAGTTTTTATTACAAAAAAGTAAGATTTAATAAACTTTTTTAAATATTAGAAGGTAATTAAACTTTTTATTAATAAATTTATAATTTTTATATAATTTCAAAAAATAATAAAAAAAAAATCATCATTTTTTAATATTTAAAAAGTGATGAGCCACATAATATTTGTTAGATTCAGGCAACACAGATTACGAAATCAGAAATACACTTTTTTTTATTTGTTTGCTTGCTTGTTTATTATAAATAAAATTACAACTTGAATTATTATTATCAAATATTAAAAATAAGATGAATTTGTGAAATATATTTTTATGTTTTCTCTTTATAATTGTAGCTTCAACTTTTAATTTCTTTTTTTTTTTAAACATGAAAAAAAATTAATTATTAAGTTTTTATTTTTAAATATTTTTTATTAGCAAGAATAATAACTTTACTTAGTAAATAATTTGTTTTTAATTGTTTTAATTTAATTAAGATTTAAAATTCGATTTTTTTTGAAGTAAGAGAACAATTTCATATTTATAATATGTAAATAAATTTTGAATTTTTGATGAAACTAAAATTATTAAGCAATATAGCTTGTTAAAATTCGTGTATGTAGGTTTGCAAAAGATAGTATCTTAGGGTACTATATATATATATAAGTATAGAATTAATTAATTACTCCCAGATATTCCTAGTTTTTGAAATTAAAAATTTCCATTCAAAGTATATGTGTGATTTAATTTCAAGTTATAAGTTAATTAGTTGTAAAATTTAAGTTTTAACATTTATTCTTATGCAAATAAGTGATTTATTATTTATTTATTCAGTTAATAAAACTCTTTAATAGATAAAATTCATAAAAAAGTAAAAAATAGATCTTTCATCATCATCTTCTTCAATAAAAATTATTAAATCTAAATATATATTTAGAAGAATTTAAAACAAATAAAATAAAGGAAGAGCAAAACTTTTTGTACTTGACTAAGCAAAAAAAATTTTCATTAAAAATTTCGGCTTTAGCTGAAAAATATTTTAAACCACTTTTGATCTCTATTAATAAATAAATCAGTTAATTTCGAATATTGTATATTACGAAAGAGGGGCAATTTCTACTATTTTAATTTACTTCTACACTATAACTCTAAATCAAAATATTGTTTATTTATCTTATTAGTTCAAATAACATTTTTTTTTTATCATAATGTAAGTAAACTAAGTTTTTTAATTTCATTTATTCTTTTAACTAATAATTAGATGCGAAATTAATTAGTAAAATTATTATAAAAAGCTTCTATAAAACTAAATTTAATTTATTTCTTTTTAGTAGCATAAATTTTAATTTATTGTTTTTTTATCAATGATTAAGGTAAATCATGTAATGATTTCAAATACTTTGCTTCTATATTTTCGTTCAAATTACTAAGCATATAATTGAAATTTTAGTTGTAATTTTATTTTTTTATGAGTGACTAACTACTTATTTATTTATAACATTCTTCAAAATTTGGTTTTAATTATATAATTTTAAATTAATTTTGCAATTTCTTCTCTGTAAATTAAAATATTTAACAAAAAATCTTAACTCAAAAATTTGACTTCTTAGCTAGCTTACAATTTTATTAAATTTGATATGGATTAGATAGACTATTTCTTAATTAATTAAAGCTAGTTAACACTTTAATTTTAAATTTGATTTTGATAGGTGATAAATTATAGGATCCTTCTTGTTTATTTAGAATTATTAGTAAATTTAGGTTTTGGTAGTAGCATTTTTTTAATATTTTTTAGTATTTTATTTTATTGAATTGATGATTAAATATATTTTTATTCTTTTTGGCTATTCAATTATAAGAATTAATTTGTTCTCATTATTTTTAAAATCATCCAAACCAATTAGGATATTCTTCAAAAAACATTAAAATCTATGTATGATAAAAATAGCTTTAAGTGAGTTTGTTTTATTTGATTAAATAATCTCAAACAGAAAGTAAGTAGAATGTAAAGAAAATAATAAATATGTGAATGAAATTAGAACAATTTTATATAAGACATATTGTTAATTTAGTAATTAAATAAATAATAATACTTACTTACTTAATTATATTAAAAATACAATACACTAATAAAATTAGATTAATAATTATTCAAACAACTAATTAAATTGAAAGTAAACTTAGTTTGATAGTTTTCTCTAACAATTATTAAAATTAATTAATTTTTATATAGTAAAGAATAAATAATTATTCATTAATTCTAACTAATGGAATATAAATTTAATTGGGTGTCTGTCTATATTAAATGCAAAATTCTAATCAAATTAGATTGAGAAATGCCTCTAACAACTGATTAAATTTAATATAAAATTAGCTTCATAAGTATCTCTAACGATTTATTAATTAAATTATTCATTCATTGTCATTCATGGAATATTAATTTAATTGGAGGTCTATATGAATTAGTTTATAAGTAAAGGTATATTTTATATTGTTAAAAAAGAGATATATTCAAAAACAAACTGAGGGTATGATACTCTAAAGATACTTGTTGAAAATCCCGTAGAATTTAATAGTTTTTGAAAAATAAAATAGTCTACATAAAAATTTTTGTTGTAAGAAGTAAATAAATTTATTAGATGGTTTTAAATGAATTTTCTATTGACTTTTATAATTTTAAAAATTCAAAAAAACAAAAAAAAATATTAAATATTTAGTAAATTTATTCGAAACAAAGATATTTATTTTATAAATTTTAATGGTTGAAATATCCTTGAAATATGGAATATAAAATAGATATGAATTTAAATTTAAATTTTCCCTTTGAGTTTATAAAGAGGAAAAAATCGAAATAGAATGAAAAGAAATGAGATTAAATTATAAATTTATCCATTTCTATTGATTTATCTATTTTAAATAAATAATTATAAATATTTTCTTTTGAGTTTTTTTATGATGAATAATTAAGAAAAATAGATGTTTTTTGATTAAATAGTGATGAAAAAAAGAAAAAAATTTTTAAAAAAATGAATTACAAAAATTAAAACAAATAAATACAAATAAAATCATACTTTTTTTTAATTAATAAGTTTCTTTTTCTAATTGTTTGATAAAATAGAAGGTTTGAGAATTATTTTTTATAAGAATAATTCTTATTGCTAATTAACATATTATATTATTATTTTGTTTTTTATACTCAGTTTATTTTTCAATTTAATAATTCCTTTGAAATGCTAATTAATATTTTCAACTATTTTTTTGATCAATAATTTGTTTAATTATTTTTAATTAATATTATGAAATAACAAAATTTAAGAACTAAACATTTTGAATGATTAAAAATTCAAAAACAAATAAAGTAAGTAAGTTATGTTATAATAAAATTTTGATTAAGCCTAAATTTATATCATAATATTATTTAAACTTTTTTTAATTAAATTGCTTACAATTAGCTTCAGCTTAAATAATTTTTGACTGATCATTTACTTCAATTTAAATACTTTATTAATCAATTTACTCATTTCAACATCAACCTCAAAATTTTTTTAATTAATCACTCATTCATTACCAACATCAAATTGTATACTTTTTTAAAAAAAATTCTTATCATTAATTTAAACCAACTCTTGCTTGCTCAAATAAATTACTTTGCTCTAATTTAAACAAACACATTCTTGCTCAAATAAATTTTCATGAATATGCTAATCAGTATGTTCTACTATTTTACAATTTTAATTCTTGGTATTTTTCTTGCCTGACTCAAACCATTTTTTAATCTAATAAAAAAATATTATTTAATTAGCTATTCAAATTAAATTAAATATTACTTACTCTTGATTGAATATATATGTATGTTTTCATGATTTATTATTTCGAATCACAATATTTATTTATTTGTTTTTTAGCTTGGCATAGTTTTTTGATTTATTTTTTTGGATCTATCTATTTAGGTGATTGCTTTTTTTTTACCTTTATACTTCTTCTTAGCAGCTTAAAATAATTTTTCTTCTTTAACATATTTGATGTTAATTGCTGTATTTAATTATTGCTCTTTTAAAAATTATTATTTTATCTATTCGTTTTCTATTTCAATATCTTCTTCTTAAAAGTTTTATCAGGCAATTAATTTCTTAGTATGCTTACAAATTAGGTTTATTAAAAGTACTTTTTTAATTATTCTTTCTTGTAATTTTTAGCTCATATACTTTTTTTAATTTGTATTTAGTTATTTAATATTAATTAATTTATGAATTTTTATTCAAATTCTTTCAGATTATAAAGTAGTAATTAATTATATCATTAATTTTTAAATATTTACTAATTTTCCCAATTCAAATAATTAGAAAACAACTTAATTAATTTTAAGAAATAATATTGATTTTTATTGAATTTAAACCTAAATTAATTATAATATATATGTATAGTACCCTAGGGTATTGCCTTATCAAGGCTATACACAGAAATTTTATTTATCACCAAAATTTATCATAAATAAAAATCAATTAAAAAAAAAATGGCTTAGAACTAACAATTTCAAATATATTTTTATTTCATTTTAAACTCATTAATAAGCAAACCGCTAGATTTTAATTAGGCGTTTGGCTATATTTATTTATTCATTCATATTTTTACTATAACGAAGACATAAATAAATTTTAAAGGTTAATACCACCCAGTTTAAAATAGAAATTTGATTTTATAGTCAATTACTTAAAGGATGACTAAAAATTTAAGTTTTAGGCTTCATTACTTTTATGTATTACTTAAGCTATGAATTGTTATTTTGTTTTCTTTCTTTCTTTCTTTCTTTATTTTACACACACTAGTCTGCCAATTTTATTGATTATGTCATTTCGCATAATTTTGTAATCGAGATGTGGCAAGTTGGGATATTTAAATCATATTTATAATATGATCTAATATTTAGTGCGTATTATTACAATTTTTATCAAAGAAAATTTTTAATTATCAAATATTCTTTTAACACATAATTTAATTAATTTACATCAGATCTAAACAAAAAAAAAACCTTTAAAAACTTAAGGGATACTGTTTATAGGCATATAATTAATTAATTAAATTAAATTTGTTAGAAAAAAAAATTGAAATATTAAAAAATGGATATAATGAGCTAAAATCTTGTAGGATCCTAAGAAGCTAAATATAAGCTTGCTTTGCATCTTCAAAAAAGGAAAAAAATCAAAGAGATGTATAGAATGAAAGGTGTCTAAATGCTCGATAAGCCTGAGTTAGTCAGTAAAAAATATTTAGATTAATATTAATTTTTATGAATAAATTTATAATTATAAATATTTAAATATTAAAACTTGCATGCAGATATTATTAAATCTTTAACATTAAATCTGTAAAAATAAAACCAAACCATCCATTTAATAAATTACACTGTCTTTGTCTTAGTTCTAATCAATTTTTATCTTAATTTTAACAAAAGTTTCTGATATCTAAGAACCTAATATAAAGCCTTAATAAGATTCAATTTACTAGATTATGAAAAGCGAATTAACTTAAAAAGGCTACTCTGATTTTAGGTTTTTAGGTCAGGGAGCATAGGGATTAGTTTTATTAGCAAAAGATCCAAAAACTAAAATAAGGTATGCCATCAAAGGTGTTTAAATTAGAGATACTCAAGGAAAACTTGACGAAGATCTTAACAATGGAGTGAAAAAAGAAATAGAAATACTCAAAAAATGTAGAGATTCTCCTTATGTAGTCAGTCTTATAGATTAATTTGAAGGATAATAATTTAGTTACTTAGTTCTAACTGAATGTTAAGGTACAAATCATACTAATTTATTTTTAAAATTTTTAAATAAATAAATAAATTAATTAATAAAACCCTTAAATGATTAATGAAAAATTAAATGCTATTAATAAAAAGGAACTCTCAACTAAATTTTAGAAAGGAACTAAAACAAAAGACTGAATGAAATATCAGCAATCAAGTATGCTAATGACATTGCTCAAGGTCTCTACTACATTCACTCGAAGAACTGCCTTGTTAATGATCTGAAAATGGATAATATCTTAATTGACTATCATGGAAATGCAGTTGTTTGTAAATTTTTAACAAATCTAAACAAGATTGATTGATTTTCTGTAAAATATTTTAATTAATTAAATAGCTGATTTTGGTTTGGCAGATAACCTAGTAAACAAATCTGGCTATGCTATCAATCAATATGTATGCACTCATATTTTTATCATATTAATGAGATATTCTAATAATTCAATTCAAAAAAATAAAGATGGGAAACTTCTTGTGTCAAGCACCAGAGTGTTATGACCCATCTGTTTCATCGATAGGTAAGGTTTATCATGATGAATATTAAAAATTAGGTGTCACTGTGAAACAAGAACCAAGCAACAGAGTAAATATTTTATTTAAATTATTTCTCTCAAGTCTAATTAATATTATTTTTATTTATTTATTTATAAATTTAAACAGAGTGAAGCATATTCTTTAGGTATGTATTATAATAATAAAAAAGACGTTATTTATTTTTATTTAACAAAAATGATGAAAAAGGATATCTAATATATACACTTGTCTAGGGAATAGATTTTAATTTAGTATCAAATAAGCACAAACCATTAAATTATGATGATGAATTTTAAAATTTTGTTTATCACAAATAGCTTAAATATATTATTGAAGGATTAACTAATTTTGTTCCAAGGGATAGAATGCCTATTAAAGAGGCTTTAATTATTTTAAAGGGAATTATTTCATTTGAATTTAAGTTAGATGAAATGCTTATTGAGAAGATAGATGAAAACACTCAGCAGTTCACAAGTTCACTCTAAAATTAAAATGAAATTGAGTTTGTTAGAGATTTGTCAAATAAGTTTTACCCAATCATGTATATTTGATTATTCAAATCTACCTCTTTTGTTAAATTTTTGTTAAATTTTTTAAAGTTAAAATGAACAGACCTTAAACTAAGAGTTAAAAGAAGATCATCAAAAAAGACAATATGTTAATTAACATATTTTGTTCAAAATATCCTCAATTTATTCAAAATAATTTGTAAAAAAGGAGGCAAAAATAGAAGAAGTATAGAAAACAAATCTCTAACTAAAATAAACAATTAATGAATAGGAATAAACAATTCAAGATTTATACACCCAATTAGAATAATTTTAAGAAAAAAAATAGGAAAAGAAAGAAGGATTCACAAAAGAAAAAGACTAACTGTAAATTAAAAAATAAGTTTTTAATAAAAATATTATGAAAAAGAAAGTATAGGCTATTCATCAATTAATTTAATTCAAAAAAATTAATTAATTTAATATTATTAAAAATAGCTTGCAATTAATTCTTTTTGAAAATTATTTATTCACTTAAGAATTATTTATCATTTACTTTAAAAAAATTAATGGCTTATAATTTATTTAAATTAAAAAAACCTTTTTTAATCAATCTTCCATTTAAAAATTCATTAGAAAGTAAATTCCTTAAATTACGATTGTGTATTTATTTAATCTCATATTTCAATAGCAAGTATATTTATTATTCTTTAATTATTTTTCTCCTTTTTTAATTTTTTTAGCACTCAAAAAAGATGTATTTTTTTACAACCAATTTTAACATATCCTAAATTTTTTAATTTAAAAGGAAGTAAATAACTTTGAAAATCATGATGATAAACACATAATCTTATTCTTTTAGAGGGTTAAATTTTTATCTATATATATCTATTGCTTAGTTCATCTATTTTTCTAATATAGATTGTAATCACTCGTCCTTTCCTTAAAAAATACTAAATTTACTTACATAATCAAAATAGCATGTAAAGATTTTATCATAAAATGCTCAAGTTAACTTTCATATTTAAAATAGACTGTAATTAATATTTTAGAATGATTTTTGATGAGAAAATAAATGCTGAATTAACTAACTTTCATATTCAAAATAAATAGCGAGTAATGAATATTTTACAATGATTTTTAATGTGAAAATAAATGCTGATTTAATTTTCTTACTCAAAATAGGTGGTAATTAATATTTAAGAATGATTTTTGAAGATAAGATAAATGCTGAATTAACTAACTTTCATATTCAAAATAGCGAGTAATTAATTAATATTTTAGAATTATTTTTGGATTATATACAAGATATCTGCATAATCTTAAGATATGTTATATTGAGTGATTGTTGTATCTGATATTGTAGAATATTCTTTATTGAAAAGTTTTATAATCTAATATTTTAAATATTATAGATTATAAAATTAAAAAATGTTGTAAAAAATAGATATGATATTCTATCTAGATTCTTGAAATAAAGTAAAAATAAAAATTCTAAAATTTTAGTTAGATTCTGATAAAAAATATAGTAAATAAAATTTAGAATATTCTGAATATATTACTTTATCAAATCCTCAATAAATGAATTTTAATAAATTAATAATTATTTTGAAGTCATGTTTTATCTACTGATGATTTTTTTATATACTAATTTAAAGAAAAATATTTAAAGATAAAATAGCTATCAAAACCAACAAACAAAGTATTTAAAATATAAAAGTATTTCAATTAGATATTAAGATTTCTTAGTATTATTTACTCTAACTTAAGATATTTTAATATTATGCCTATTTCTTGTATATAATATTATCTTTAACACCAGAAAATAAATACTGAATTAACTAACTTTCATATTAAAAACAGCAAGTAATTAATATTTTCGATTGATTTTTGATGAGATAATAAAGGCTTAATTATATTCCATATTCAAAATAGGATGTAATTTATATTTTAGAATGATTTTTGATGTCAAAATAAATGCTGAATTAGCTAACTTTAGTATTCAAAATAGCAAGTAATTAAATTTTAGATGGATTTTTGATGAGAAAATAAGCCAAGTTAAATTCCATATTCAAAATAGGATGTAATTTATATTTTAGAATGATTTTTGATGTCAAAATAAATGCTGAATTAGCTAACTTTAGTATTCAAAATAGCAAGTAATTAATATTTTAGATTGATTTTTGATGAGAAAATAAAGGCTGAGTTAAATTCCATATTCAAAATAAATAGGATGTAATTAATATTTTAGAATGATTTTTGATGAGAAAATAAATACTGAATTAACTAACTTTCATATTCTAAATAGCATGTAATTAATTAACATTTTAGAATTTTGAATGAGAAAATAAATAAATGCATAATTAACTTTAATATTTAAATAGGGTGTAAAATATACATAAATTTAGAAGAGGTGAAAATGTTATATATATTATTGGAAAATAGAGAGTAATAAATATATTAAAGAATGATTTATAAATAATTAATTAATTATCTAAATAATCAATTAGGGAGTAATTTTATTTGATTATTTTGTTTTTTAGAAAATGCTGATTTAAATTACTTAGTATTAACAAGAAGAGGTAATAATTTTAGTGAAATAGATAATAGTTAATAAGTTATATAAAATTTTGAAAAGGATGTAATATAATATTTGAGAATTAGAAGTATCAGATAGTGAAAAATGAATTTATTGTATGACTAGTGGGTATGAATTTACTTATAATATTTTTAAATTTTAAATGTTATATCATTAATATTTAAAATAGATAGTAATCTTTTGACTTTAAGACAGCTAATAAATATATCAATAATTGTTTTAAATAGCATGTAAATAAATAGTATCTTTGATTAAAAATAATTAAAAAAAATTTAATATTTAAAAAAGCAAGTAAACTTTAGACACTAATTAGAATAAATATGTTAGTTAAATCGCATTAAATAATTAAAATAGAGAGTATATTTTGAATATTTTTATTGAAAGAAGCAAAATAAATTATTTAATTAATTAATTATTTTAAAAAAGAGAAGATTGGTAAATAAATCATTAAATAAATTTTTGAGAAATAAAAATAATCCAAACATTATAAATAGGGAGTAATGAAATTGAGAACACTCATTAAAAAATTTAAGAATAAAATTTGATAATTAAAATAGCATGTAATATTTATTTTAAAGTGTATTTAAAGACTATTCAAAGATAAATTAAAATTATAATATAAATAGAAAAAATGAGTAAAATATGAAGATAAAAAATATAGAAATAATAAATTGAATAAACATTAATTAGGACGTAAATAATTAATTAATTAATTTAATTAGAAAAGAAAAAACTTATATTATTTAAATAAATAAAATAGGCCGTAATAATAATCTTTAAACAATATCCATTTTAGTTTTAAATGACTGTTAATTAATAGGATGATGTATTACTTTCAGATTATTTAATCATATAATTAATTAATTTTACTTTGAAAAAGATTGTAATATTTATTAATACTTACTTACCTTCAAAGAGACATATATTAATTAATTCAACCAAATAGCTAGTAAATCTTTATTATTTTTTATTGATATTTATTTATTTACTTGTTAACAGTGAGTACAATTTTTGAATGACTTTAAATAAGAAGAAAACAAAATATTCTAAATAGGAAGTAAAGCTTTTATGTTATGACACTCTAAAATAAATGCTAAATTATTTTATTTCTATAAGAGAGTATAATCATTGAATAATATTTTATCAAAATATTCTATAATATCTTCAAATTCAAATATAAGCGATTGGTAACTTTAATTTTAGCATTTTGAAATATTCAAATAAAATGACTTAAATAGGAACGAGTAAAGATCAATCTAGTTAAAATCTTGGCTTGATATTATATTTGCTTTTATTAAAAATAATAATAGAATGTAATTTTTTAAATTAATATTTCATAATCTTAGCAAGATAGATTGAAGAAATAATAAATTAAAATTAATAAAATAGAATGTAATAATTTGATTCAATTCTAAATCAAAAATATAAATTAAAACTTAAAATAGTGGGTAATTTTTTTTATTTGATAATATCAAGAGAAATTTATATATTTATTTTCCTTTTTTATCTAAAAAAGCTAGTAAAAAATAATCATTTGTTCAAAAACGACAATTTAACTTTTAAATATAAACAGAGTGTAACTTTCATTAAAAAGTTTATTCTAAATATCTCAAAATTTTTATTAACCAAAATAGCTAGTAATATTACTTCCTTACATTATTTATTAGAATCAAACATATCTCTTATTTCTAATAGACTGTAAACTTTTATATTATTTTCTTAAAAGATTAAACATATTTTACTTTATTATATCAATAAGCGGGTAATTTTATCATCTCATAGAGGTCTTCTTAGAATTTTTTACATCTATAATAGCAAGTTATTTTTCTAAAATTTTTATAATTATCAGATATTCAATCATCTTTTGAATTTAAAATAGATAGTAATTAATGTTTTAGAATGATTTTTGATGAGAAAATAAATGTATGATTAACTTTCATTTTCAAAATAGCTTGTAATTAAAATTTTAAAATGATGTTTGATGATAAAATAAATGCTGAATTAACTAACTTTCAAATTCAAAATAGAGAGTAATTAATTAATATTCTAGAATGATTTTTGATGATAAAATAAATGCTGAATTAATTTTCATATTCAAAATAGCACGTAATTAATATTTTAGAATGGTTTTTGAATGACAAAATAAATGCTGAATTAACTTTAAAATTCAAAATAGATAGTAATTAATTAATATTTTAGAATTATTTTTGATGAGAAACTAAATGCTGAATTAACTTTAATATTCAAAAATAGTGGGTATTTAATCTTTTAGAATGATTTTTGATGAGAAAATAAAAGCTGAATTAACTAACTTTCATATTCAAAATAGCACGTAATTAATATTTTAGAATAATTTTTGATATGAAAATAAATGCTGAATTAACTAACTTTCATATTCAAAATAGCCTGTAATAAATATTTTAGAATTGTTTTTGATGAGAAAATAATTGCTGAATTAACTAACTTTCATTTTCAAAATAGTCGGTAATTAATATTTTAGAATGATTTTTGATGAGAAGATAAATGCTGAATTAATTTTCATATCCAATATAGTCGGTAATTAATATTTTAGAATGATTTTTGATGAGAAAATAAATGATGACTTAACTAACTTTCATATTAAAAATAGATAGTAATTAAAATTTTAAATGTATTTTGATTTTTGATATGAAAACAAAATCTAAATATAAAATAGTGAGTAAAATTTAATTAAGAGTTGATAATAAGAAATTAGTGAATTAAATAAACTTTTGAAAAACAGATGGTAATTATTAGTAGAAGAAAAAGAAGACAGATGGAAAATAAGTTTAATTTTTAATTTACAGCGAGTAATATTTTAGAAGAATAATTTTGATAGAGATAGATTCTTATTAAATGTATGAAATAGATAGTAATATTTTTGAAAGTTACTATATAATGTAGATTAAGTAAGTGTTAATTTTAATATGAAAACAGTCAGTAAGAATTATGAAAATAATTGAAAAAGTCTAACTTATTAACTAAATATGTTAATTAATTCAAATTAGATTGTAAATTATTTGAGTGATTTAAAAAGAAAATAAAAAAATAAAAAATAATAATAGATTGTAAAATTTTAAATAACTTTGGATGAAATGTAATCAAGAAATGTTTTAATTAAAACAGCTGGTAATAATTAATTAATCCTATTAAGAGATCAAGATAAGAATATCAATCTACTACTTATTTATTATAAAGAAAGTTAAATTATTTATAAGAAAAGTGACTTTTCTTATTAAACCTTTGAATAAAATAAATAGGGTATAATAACATATTGAAATTTCCGACCGCAAAAAAGCAAGATTTAATAAACTTTTATAAACATATTAGAAGGTAATTAATCTTTTTACAAACAAATTTATAATTTTCATTTAATTGAAAACTTAATTTCAAAAAATAATAAATAATAAATCATTTTTTTTGCTTTTAAAAAGTGATGAACCACATAATATTTGTTTGCTAGATTCAGGCAACACAGTCTATGAAGTCAGAAATGCGCCTTTTTTTTATTTGTTTGCTTGTTTATTATAAATAAAAATAATCACTTGAATTATTATTAACAAATATTATAGATAATATGAATTTGTGAAATATATTTTATGTTTTCTATGTTATTTGTAGCTTCAACTTTTAATTTTTTTTTTTTAAAACATGAAAAAAAAATCGAAAATAAAGTTTATGTTTTTAAATATTTTTTATTAGCAAAATAAATAACTTAATTTATTTTGCTTTAATTATTTCTAATTTAATAGAAATTCATTTTTTTTTTGAAGTAAGAGAATATTTTTATAAATCTACATATATACTTCTGAGAATTTAATACAAATAAAAAAATGAATCAGAGTAGGCTTTTACTTGACAAAGCAAAAAAAAAATTTTATTAAAAATTTTTGCTTTAGCTGAAAAAATATATAAAACAGCTTTTGACATCTATTAATAAATAATCATTCAATTTTGAATATTGTATATTACTTTAAGAAGGGCAATTCCACTATTTTAATAGACTTTTGCACTATAACCCTAAATCAAAATGTTTTTTATTTATCTGATTAGTTTAAATAATATTTTTGATCATATCAAAGCAAACTAAGTTTTTTAATTTGATTTATTATTTAAACGCATAATTAAATGCAGAATAAGTAAAATCTTTTTTTTAACTTTTACAAAATCAAGTTTAATTGATCTCTTTTTATTATAAATTTTAATTTCTTGTTTGTTTTTATAAATGATTAAGGTAATTAATTAGGTAATGATTTCAATTACTCTACTTCTACATTTTCTTTATTATTAATAAGCATGTAATTTAAATTTTAGTTTATAATGTTATTTTTTGATCATTAACTAACTAACTAACTAACTAACTAACTAACTAACTAACTAACTAACTAACTAACTAACTAACTAACTAACTAACTAACTAACTAACTAACTAACTAACTAACTAACTAACTAACTAACTAACTAACTAACTAACTAACTAACTAACTAACTAACTAACTCACTAACTAACTAACTAACTAACTAACTAACTACTTATTTATAAAATTCTTCAAAATTTGATTTTTTTTAAAAACTTTTAAATTATTTTACAATATCTTCTATGTAAATTAAAATATTTAACAATAAATCTTAACTCAAAAATTTGACTTTTTAATTTTCAATTTTATATAAATTTGATATAATTAGATCGATTAATTCTTAATTAATAAAATCTTTTTCACATGGTTTAAATTTAGTTTCGATAGGTGTTAAATTATATGATCCATAAAATTAACTTCATAAGTGTCTCTAACGATTGATTTCGTTGGATGTCTGTCTAAATGAATTAGTTTACAAATAACTATAGGTGTATTTTATTTTGTTGAAAATGAGTTATTTTCAAAAACAAACTGAGGGTATTATACTTACTTATTTATTGATAATCTATGTAGAATTTAATAATTTTGAAAAATAAAAAAATGATGAAAAAAAATTCACAAAAAATATTTAAAATTTTAATTTTATTAAATGTAAAAACACGGTATATAAAACTCGCTTTTTGTAAATTTGTATGGCAACTTACTCTAAATATATCTCCATATTTGTAAAATAAAATATAAACTACAATATAAATTTAGTGTTACAATTTTTAACTAACTAACTAACTAACTAACTCCTAAAATTCCTTAATATGATAGAAGATAAAAATATTTAAGATTAATTAATAATTATGATTATTTTAGTTAAAACGGAGGGCAGGTTTTAAAGAGATTCATTCATTCATTTATTTAAGTAAATTTAATTAGTTAATTTTCATTTATTTAACAATTTATTTATCAAGTTACCAAAATAAATATGGTATACATAAATATAAATATAAAAATAATAATAAATATGAATATAAATATTTTATGTTAAATTATCTTATTATAAAATAAGATTTAATAAAACATTTTATTTTCTATTATTAAATTATTTATATTTATTCATCCTTTTTCAGCACTTATCTATCAATAATAGAAATCTATATCAGCGACAACTAATCTTTTTGATTTAAGATATTTGGCTGATACTTTCTATTGTTTTGATTCTTTAATGTTGTTTTCCCTTTTATATTTTATTAAATTAAAATAAAATAAAATACTAAAAAATATTAAATAGATAGAATCTAATTTTTTAATTAAAAATTATTTTTAAAATTACTAAATAAAAAAAAATTATTAGAATAAAAAGAAAAATAAATATAAATAAGAAAAGCTAATAAGCAAATTAAAAGAATTATTTTGTTTTAAATTCAATTTTATAAATAAAAATATCACAATCTAAAACAAATAAACTCAATATACCTAAGATGAACTGTCAATATTAAGAGATTAGTGCAATTTGCTAAAGCAGAAGCTAAGTTTGATGCGCCAATTGAACTAATTTCGTTGTTTCTTTTAAATATTGATAAAAATGTTATTAATTAAATATTTAGAAGGAAAAAATGAAGAAATAATATGAAATAATAAGAAAAGAATGAATAAATAAATAATTAAAGTAAATGGTGAAAATAAAAATTTGAATAAAATTAAATTAAGAAAGATAGAAGAAGAATAATCACAAATAAAATAAAAAAGAAAAACCAGACTAAATTAAATTAAATAAAAAGCTAATAAACAAACAAATTAAAAAATATTTATTGTTTTAAATTCAATTTTATAAGTAAAAATATCAAAATTCAAATCAAATAAACTTAATTTACCGAAGATCAAGTTTCAAATTTAAGAGATGAGTGCAATTTGCTAAGTAAGAACCTAAGCTGGATACACTTCTATCACAAATTTAATTATCACTTTTTAAATATTGAAGAAAAAAAATATTTTTAATTATTTAGTTATTTTGAAGGAAAAAATGAAGAAAAAATTTGAAATAATAAATAAGAAATGAATAAAAAATAATAAAAGCAAATGCTGAAAATAAAAAATGAATGAGTTAAATTAAGAAAAATAGTAGAAATATAAATGCAAGCACAATAAATAAGAAAAAATAAAAGTAAATCAAATAAAAAGTTAATAAAAAAATTATTAAAGAGGGCTATATTGTTTAATATTCTATTTTATAAATAAAAATATCAAAACCCAAAACAAATAAACTGAATTTACGAAAGATTAAGTGTCAAATTTGAGAGATTAGTGCAATTTGGGAAAGCAGAACCTAAGATAGATGCACCATTTGAACCAAATTCAATCGATCTTATTAAATATTGAAGAAAAAATATATAATTAATTATTTATTTAGAGGAAAAATGAAGAAAGCATTGGAAATAATAACAAAAGAATTAATAATTTATAAAAGCAAACGTTAAAAAAAAAATTAATGAGTTGAATTAAGAAAGATAAAAGAAAAATAAACAAAAGTACAATAAAAAACAAAAGAAAAGTAAATCAAATAAAAGGCTAATTAACAAACTAAAAGAGCTTAGTAAAAATATCACAACCCAATAAAAATAAAATAAATTTACCCAAGATTAAGTGTCAAATTTGAGAGAAGAGTGCAATTTGCTAAAGCAGAACATAAACATGATAAACCTTAATTACCAAAGCGACTTTTTAAATATTGTAGAAAAAATTAGAAGAAAAAATATGAAATAATAAATAAGAAATGAATTAATAAATAATAAAAGCTAATGTTGAAAATAAAAAAATGATTTAAAATAAGAAATAGAGAAGAAAAGTAAAAAAACACAAATATAATAAAAAAGAAAAAGCTAATCAAAATCTAATAAACAAATTATAGGAATATATTGTTTTAAATTCAATTTTTTTGTAAAAATATCACAATCCAAAACAAATAAACTGAATTTACCCAAGATCAAGTTCCAAATTTGAGAGATTAGTGCAATTTGCTAAAGCAGAACTTAAGCCTAGTAAACCTTTATCACTAATTTTATTATTATCACTTTTTTATATTGAAGAAAAATATATAATTATTTAGCTATTTAGAAGGAGAAAATGAAGAAAAATATGAAATAATAAGATATGAAACAAAATACAATAAAAAAGAAAATGAAAACTAAATCTAATCAAAATCTAATTAAACAAATTATATGATATTTTTTGTTTTAAATTCAATTTTATAAGTAAAAATATCACAATTAAAAACAAATAAACTTAATTTACGAAAAATAAAGTTTCAAATTTGAGAGATTAGTGCAATTTGCTAAAGCAGAACTTAAGCCTAGTAAACCTTTATCACTAATTTTATTATCACTTTTTTAATATTGAAGAAAAAATTTATAATTAATTATTAAGTTATTTAGAAGGAAAAAATCAAGAAAACTCTATGTAATAATAAGAAATGAATAAATAAATAAATAATAAAAGCAAATGTTTAAAATAAAAAAATGAGTTAAAATAGGATAAGGAGAAAAAAAAAAATACAAGTAAAATAAAAAAGAAAACTATATCTCATAAATAAATAAATTAAATGAGATATTTTTTTTATTGTTTTAAATTAAATTTTATAAGTAAAAATATCAGAATCCAAAACAAATAAACTGAATTTACTAAAGATCAAGTTCCAAATTTGAGAGATTAGTGCAATTTGCTAAAGCAGGACCTAAGCCTGATACACCTTAATCACCAATTTGATTGCTGCTTTTTAAGTTTTGAAGAAAAATATATATTTATTTAGCTATTTAGAAGGAGAAAATGAAGAAAAATATGAAATAATAAGATATGAAACAAAAGTAGAATAAAAAAGAAAAAGAAAATTAAATCTAATTAAAATCTAATAAACAAATTATATGATATTTTTTGTTTTAAATTCAATTTTATAAGTAAAAATATCACAATTAAAAACAAATAAACTTAATTTACGAAAAATAAAGTTTCAAATTTGAGAGATTAGTGCAATTTGCTAAAGCAGAACTTAAGCCTAGTAAACCTTTATCACTAATTTTATTATAACTTTTTTATATTGAAGAAAAAATATTTAATAATAATTATTTAGTTATATAGAACCAAAAAACTAAGAAAAACTATGAAATAATAAAAGAAAAAGTTGAAAATAAAAAAATGAGTTAAGATAAGATAGAGAGAAGAAGAAAAAAAACACAAATACAATCAAAAAGAAAAAGAAAGAGAAAACTAAATCTAATGAAATATTTATTGATTGTTTTAAATTCGATTTAAGAAATAAAAATATCACAATCCAAAACAAATAAACTTAATTTACCTAAGGTAAAGTGTCAAATTTTAGAGATTAATGCAATTTGATAAAGCAGAACCTAAAACTGATACACCTTTAGCACCAATTTAATTTTCTCTTTTTAAATATTGAAGAAAAAATATATAATAAATTAATTAATTAGTTACTTAGATAGGAAAAATGATGTAATTAATATAAGAAATTAATTAATAAATAATAAGAAAAAATGTTGAAAATAAAAAAATAAATGGGCTAAATTAAGAAAGATAGTAGAAAAATAAAAACAACTGCAATAAAAAAGAATAAGAAAAGTAAATAAAAAAATGAATGAGTTAAATTAAGAAAGATAGAAGAAAAATAAGCACAAGTAGAATATCAATCAAATAAAAAGCTAATAAACAAATTAAAAAAGAAAGGAATATCGTTTTAAATTCAATTTTATAAGTAAAAATATCAAAATCGAAAACAAATAAAATTTAATTTACCTAAGATCAAGTTCCAAATTTGAGAGATTAGTGCATTTTGCTAAAGCAGAACCTAAATCTGATAGACATTTATCACCAATATTATTATGGCTTTCAATTACATTAACATTTATTTAATATTGAACAAAAAATAAATAATTAATTAATTAATTAGTTATTTAGAAAAAAAAATAGAATTAATAAATAATAAAAATAAAAAAATGAATGAGATAAATTAATAAATAAGAGAATTTACAATCAGAGCCTTAATTTATTGGCCAATAGGTACAAAAAAAATATTCTACCTATCACGCCAAATTTTTTCCGCCCTCCAAACATTTCGCCTTAAAACAATTTATGAATTAATAAATAATAAAAGCAAAGGGGGGAGGGGGTGGGGTTACACCAGGGACCTACTCCCAAATCAAATAAATAGTAATAAACAAATTAAAAGAGATTTGCTGATTTAAAGTAAATTTTATAATCAAAAATATCGCAATCCAAAACTAATAAACTTTATTTATCAAATAAAAATTTTAGAAGGAAAAAATGAATAAACTTTTTCAAATTATAAAAATGGATAAAAAATTAAGTTAACATAACTAAAAATCATTTGTAAATAAAGTTTATTAATATTGATGATAATTTCAATTATAAAAATTAAATTTTAAGTGAACTGAAAGCTAAATATAAAGAAAATATTAATAATCATAATATTTATAAAATTAAATATACCTCAGATCAATATGGAGAATCTAATGAGATTAGAGTGAAGACTTTTAAAACTTTTTATGTTTATAAAATAAATATAAAGTGCATTGATAAAAAAATAAATAATTACTTCTCCTAATTTGTTATAATATTTAATCTATTATATCATTTTTTTTTTTCTTCAAAAATATTGAAAAGCTATTTATGGAAATTTAATTAATTAATTAATTATAAGTGGATAAAAAGAGCAAATAAATAAGAAGAATTTATAAATTTGCTTTTAATAAGATAAATCACAAAAAAATTTGTGTAAAATTTGTTTTTAAATATTAATATATATTTCTATTTTAAATCTGTACTTAAAAATATTGTGGGAAATAGAGGATATAAAGGATAATGAGAATGCGAACTCACTAGAATAAAATAAATATTTGATATTTAGTCGCATTTTTGTAAATTTTGGCCTGCCCAGGACCAACCCAAAAAATTTAATTTATTCCCTTAGTTGGGCTAATTGTATTATTTTCTATTATATATTTTTATTCTATCAAATTTAATTACTTTATGAACTTGCTTACTTACTTACTTACTTACTTACTTACTTACTTACTTACTTACTTACTTACTTACTTACTTACTTACTTCTACTTATCCTAACTTAGCTAATAAATAAATTAATTAAAAACAAATATTAATAATTAAATGCCATTGATTTATCTCGTCACTTCCAAACAACTAGATTTTTGAATGGCATTTTGCTAAATATAAAGTAATTGGGTTTAATTAATTAATTAACTAATTAAAGATTTTATAAATCTATAGTTTTAAAAGGCGCGCAATCGATATTCATATTAATAATATAATAATATGATACAAACTATATTAAAATTTTTTACGATCGATAATTTATTTTAGTTTTGAGTTTAAATTGAATAAAAGAAATAAAAAAGTTCTAATTTTATCATATATATTTTAGTCTATTTATTTATAAAAATTTATTTTTTTCTCCTTAATTAGATTAATATCTCAGATTAAAAAAGTTTTGAAAGATAATTTTTAATAGAATTTGTAATTTAAAATTTCATTTTAAAACAAAAATGATAAAACAAATAAATCTATTCTGCAACCTAGAAGAAGTAATTTATTATTTTAATCACTTTCTTTTAAATTTGTTTTTATACGTAAAAAAAGTTTTTAAAGTCTTCTCTTTAATCTCACATCCATCTTCGTATTTATCTTAAGTAAAAATAAATTAAAAAAAATATTTATAAATTTAAAAAATCTTTTACTTATTTAAATTATTTTTCGATTTAAAATATTTTTAATAATTAGATTAACCAATTTAATTTATTTTAAAATTTTTAGTCAAAATTTTATTTTTAATAATTACCTTTTGATTGATTGAATGTTTTGTTATTTTATTTGATAAGTTCAATGAATAATTATTTCCATCAAAATTTTTATATTTTTCTTTTGCATAATTTATAAATATGTTAAAAGCGAAAAATCAATCAGTCCAGAAGATGCAGTTGACTTAAGTATTTCTTTAAATAAGTGCATTAATCTTACAAATTTGATCCTTAATCTTGGGTAATAATTGTAATTTCTAAATAATTTTATACTTTCATGCAAGTAAATAAAATATTAAATTATCTGATTGTAAGTAATCATACAAGGTTTCATTCTTTGTTTTTTTCTTATTTTTTCAATTATTTACTATTTAAAAATATCTTATACTATTTTAGAAAAATATTTCTAATGTTAAACAATAATTGATAAAAAAGATACAATTAAATTGGTGAAGAAGGTGCTTCAAATTTAAGCTAAGCTTTAGCAAATTGCAACAATCTCTAAAATTTAACTCTTAACATAAAGTATTAAATTATATTATTTTTTTTTATTAATCTACTTTCTAAAAATGTATTTTTTAAAATAAAAAAAACTCTTTATATGATTATCAGTTATAACTTTCGCTGTTCAATCTTAACATTTTTTAATCCCTAATTAAAAATGTTTATTACTTCTAACTATTAAAAACCAAATGTAAATTAAATATTTTAAAAGAGGTAATTAAGTGAAAGACACTGGAGCATTACAATTAAGTTCTAATTTAGCATAATGCAAAAGCTTACTAAGATTAATACTTAGACTAAAGTAAGAAATATTTCTATTTATGAAAGGAAAGTCAAAATAAAGGAAATTCATTTATATTGGTTTATACCAAATATTTATTTATTTATTTTTAAATATTATCTATTATTTATTCATATTTCACAATTAAAAAATTACTTTTTCTTAAGATAAAAAATGTTTTAAAAAAATTTAATAAAAAATCAAAATATCTTTATAAATTAATATTAATTTATTTTTAATTATTATTCAAGATTTAATTAAATTAATTAAGAGTTTAAAGTTAACTTAAGAATAAGAAGACAAATTCTAAAAATGAAAAATTTAGTTATTTTGCTTTTAGATCTATGATAAATTTAATATATTAAATCATATCACTATATCTATATATTTGTCTTTATATTCTGTGATCTTCAATAATAAAAAAAATTTTATTTAATAAAAATTTAAAATATAATAAAAAATTTAAATTTTGCCCAAAAAATTAGTTTTTTAATTATCTAAATTAAAAAAGAATATTAAATTTCGCTTTTTGTAAATTTAAATAGCATTTTACTTTATTTAGTTAAATTAATAATATCTTTTAATTCATACAAGTGAGTGGTTTTAATATTATGAGTGAAATTATAATTAATCTATTTTAATGAAATCATTATTTTAAGAAAAGCAATTTAAGAAAACAGTTTAATTCTAAGAGTGAATTTTACACAAAAAATCCTTGATTATTTTCCTTATCAAATAACAAGAAAACACAGAATGCTTAAATTAAGACAAACGATAATAGCATCATAATAAGTTTAGACATCCTTATTGGTGGAAGTACACTTCTTAGCACAGCTCATATAATTAGTACTGAAAGTAGTAGCATTATCAGTATGGCATTTATTAGTGCAATCACTAATTTTAGTATATTCAGCTAAGCAAGCATTGTCAGTTGGTTGGCAAGGATTTTTAACATTGTTAATGCAATTAAACATTTTCGTATTGCTATTTAAATCAACTTTAGATTAGGCACTAACAAAAGAAATAGCAATTAAAGCAAGTAAAGCGAAGGCAAAAAATTTCATTTTTTATTATAATTTAGTTTATTTATTTATTTTATTTAATTTAAATAATTATTACAAAATAGAAGTACAGACAGACAGACAACACTAGCTTTTTATAGTTTTAGCAACTTAAGAAATATGAAATTATAATATTAAAAGAATTAAGCTTTAGATTATTGCTTTTTTCCTTTTATTATCATTATTACCAAAATTACGTAGTATCACAAATTAAAACTAGACTTAATTAATTTACTATAACTAAGTTTTTCAAAAGTACATATTTTGATTTAATTTTATCTGTTAAAATGATCTACTCTTTGTTCATGAAAAACACAATTAATTAATAATTTGTATGTAAAAGTAATAATTTAACATGATCTAATTTACCTAATTCTAATTTTAAAAGAAAGATTAAATGGTATTTTTTAAGATTCAAAAAGCAATATTTATTGAAAAAATTAAATAAATATATTAATATTCCTCAATTAATTTCTCACCTTTTTAAACAATATAAAGTAATTAAATTTTTAAATTTTAGTTACATTTTTAAAAATATTTTCACTATTTTCTTTAAAAGCCTACCTACCTACCTACATATATTTTTAACTTATTAACTTATCTTTCTTTGATATTTGTTTAGAAATACATCATTAATCAAATAGCTTATAGTGAACATTAGAAGTGTATTTTAGTTGCTATTACAACAAATTTAATTATAAAATTAACTCTTGATTCTTTGTTTGTTTATTAATTTTCTTCTTAATATTACATTAACTAATGATGGTTTTAAAGGAAAAAATAGACTCAATTTGTTAAAATTTTAATTTGAAAAATTTACTCTGATTACTTTACTTTTGCGATGAAGAAATAAATATTAATTTATTTATTAATCCTATGATTTTTATTAAATTAGTAAAGTAAGTAATCGAACATTTTTAAAAAGATAAAATAGTTTTTTTCAAAAATATTTCTGTTCTTAAACTCTACTTTAAATTTTTTTAGTAATTTGTTTAAATGACTAATTTTTGCAAAAAGCTCTTTACTAAACCATTCCTCATTAATTATGTTTGTAAATTAAATAACTAGCTAGTACAAACAATTTGAAACTAAAAGTAGCAAATAATATATCAAAAATATAAATTTCTTAAAATTTTATTTGATTATTTTACACTAAAAGCTATCCGAAAGGTTAATCTAAAATAAAAAATTATTTTTATTCTAAGATAACTTTTTTTTTATTTTCTTTTGAATATATTCTGAAAAGATATTTGTTTTGTTTTGTTTTGATTTTAATCTTTCAGCTTTTAGACTACATCAAATAGTACTAATTTCATAATAATGTAACTAAAATTAATTAATTCAAGTTTATGAGGTGCTTAACTTAGCTTGAAATATGTTTTGTTAGTTTCTTTAAATCCATATCTTATACTTACACAATATTTGTTTTAATATATATATATATCGTAAGTTCTCATTAATTCACCCCAAATTATATTAACCTCCATTTTTTTCACTGAATTTATAATACTTGAACAAATAATTTAAAGTCTTAAGAAGGGGTTATAAAATAATAATAATTCAAATAGATATTGAAATAAATTATAAGAAAAAAAGGGTGTGACACACCATTTATTAAATGTGTAATATATTTTAATTTTATCAAATTTAATTACTTTTTGACTTGCTTACTTACTACTACTTAGCCTAACTTAGCTAAAAAATTAATTAAAAACAAATATTTATAATTAAAAGTAATTGGGTTTAATTAATGATTTTATAAATCTATAGTTTTAAAAGGTGCGATAGACATTCATATAAATAATATAATTATACGATACAAACTATATTAAAATTTTTTACGATCAATAATTTATTTTGTTTTTGAGTTTAAAGTGAATAAAAGAAATAAAAAAGTTCTAATTTTATCATGTTTTTGTCTGTTTATTTATAAAAATTAATTTTTTTTCCTTAATTAGATTAATATCTCAGATTAAAAAACAAAAATGATAAAACAAATAAATCAATTCTACAACCTAGAAGAAGTAATTTATTATATTAATCATTTTCTTTTAAATTAATTTTTATTCTTAAAAAAAGTTTTTAAAGTCTTCTCTTTAATCTCACATCTATCTTCGTATTTATCTTAAGTAAAAATAAATTAAAAAAAATATTTATAAATTTAAAAAATCTTTTATTTATCTATTATTTTTTCATTTAAAATATTTTTAATAATTAGATTAACCAATTTAATTTATTTTACTCAAAATTTTATTTTAATAATTATCTTTTGATTGTAATTAATTTTGTCATTTTATTTGATAACTTAAATAAATTTTTATTTCCATCAAAATTTTTATATTTCTATTGCTTAATTTATAAATTTATAAAAAGCGAAAAATCAATCGGTCCAGAAGATGCAGTAAACTTAAATGTTTCTTTAAATAAGTGCATTAACCTTACAAATTTGATCCTTAATCTTGAGTAATAATTATAATTTCTAAATAACCTTTTACTGACTTACATGCAAGCAAATAAAAAATTAAATTATCTGAATTTAATCATACATGAAACCATTCTTTGAATTTTTCTTATTTATTTTTTCAATTATTTACTATTTAAAATTATCTTATTCTATTTTAGAAAGATATTTCTAATGTTAAAAAATAATTGGTAAAAAAGATACAATTAAATTGGTGAAGAAGGTGCTTCAAATTTAGGCTAGGCTTTAGCAATTTGCAAAAATCTCTAAAATTTAACACTTAACCTAAAGTATTTATTATTTTTTTTATTAGTCTACTTTCTAAATATGTATTTTTTAAAATAAAAAAACTTTTTTGTATGGTTATCAATTATAATTTTTGCTGATCTAAACATTTTTTTATTCTTAATTGAAAACGTTTATTACTTCTAACTATTAAAAACCAAATGTAAATTAAATATTTAAAAGAGGTAATTAAGTGAAAAATACTGGAGCATTATAATTAGGTTCTAATTTAGCATAATGTAAAAGCTTACTAAGATTAATACTTAGACTAAAGTAAAATATATTCTCTATTTACTAAAGGAAAGTCAAAATAAAGAAATTTCATTTTTATAAACCAAATATTTATTTTTTAATATTTTCTATTATTTATTTATTTATGTTTCTCATTTTATAAATTATTTTTTTTCTTAAATAAAAAACATTTTAAAAAATTTTAATGAATAATCAAAACTTCTTTATTAACTAATATTAATTTATTTTTAATTATTATAAAAGATTTAATTAAATTAATCAAGAGTTTAAAGCTAATTTAAGAAGAAAAATTCTAAAAATGAAAAATTTAGTTATTTTGCTTTTAGATCTATGATAAATTTAATATGTTAAATCATATCACTACATCTATCTATTTATTTATCTTTATATGCTGTGATCTTCAAACTAACAAAATTTTATTCATTTTTTTACAATTTTCATGAAAAATAATTTTTTAACCTAATCAGATTAAAGTGAATAGGTTAAAAACTTTTTTTATAATAAAAATAAATTTAAAGTATATTGATTAAATCTAAAATATTTAATATCATTTATTTATTTTTTTATTCAAAAATATTGAATAAAAATTTATGGAATTTAATTAATAAAAAATAGATAAAAGTAATAAATAAAACATAATAATTATCAAATATAAATTTATAAATTAGATTTTATGAATATCACAAAAATGAATTTAAAATTCATTATTTAATCTTAATATTTGTATTTAAAACATATGCTTAACAATATAGTAGGATTAGAGATTCTCTGTTAAAAAATTCTAGTAATTAATAAATGTACTAAAATTTTATAAAAATAACATTTATAAGTAGATTTTTCTGTTTTAGCCCAGTAATGAATGACAATGATGGGAATATTTATAATTATTCTATAATCCCATTCATTTTTTTTTTGCAAGTACATTTTATTTAGGTATACTGATAGATTGCATTTCATCCACCATAAAGCATTTATACCTCCTTAAATAACATTTTAATAAATAGAGTAAAATACTTTACTATAAAAAATTAAAATTTTGCAGAAAAAAATTGTTTATAAGTTATCTAAATTAAATCAGAATATTAAATTTTGCTTTTTTTTTGTAAATTGAAATGGTATTTTACTCAAATCAAAAATAATGATTAGAAATAATATCTTTTAATCCATACAAGTGAGAAGTTTTAGCATTATGAATGAAATTATAATCAATCAATCAATCTATTTTGATGAAATAATTATTTTAAGAAAAGTCATATAAGTAAGATGTTTTATTTATAAGAGTGAATTTTAAGCAAATAATGCTCCATTATTTATTTTCCTTATCAAATAACAAAAAAACAGAGAGTCATGCTAGAGCTAAAACAAGCAATAATAGCATCATACCAAGTTTAGACATGCTTATTGATGGAACTACACTTCTTATAGCAACTTAATCGGTTTTGCATTTATCTGAACATTCATTAATTTTTTATTTTTCAGCTTAGCAATAGTCACCAGTAGTTTAGCAAGGTTCTTTAACATTATTAATGCAATCTAAAATATTCTTAGCATATTAAATATTATAAGATTAGGAACTAACACAAGAAATAGCAATTAAAGCAAGTAAAACGAAGGCGAAAAATCTCATTTTTGTTAAATTTAGTTTATTTATTTTATTTAATTAATTAATTATTCCAAAATAGAAGTGCAGGCAGACGACACTAGTTTTTTTTATAGTTTTAGCATCTTAAGAAATATGAAATTATAATATTAAAAAATTAGGATTTAGATTATTGCTTTTTTTCCTTTTGATTATAATTATTACCAAAATTATTTAGTATCACAAATTAATACTAGACTTAAATTAATATACTATAACAAAGTTTTTTAAAAGGATCTATTTTAATTTAATTTTATCTGTTAAAATGATCTATTCTTTGCGAATGAAATACACAGTTAATTAATTAAATATATTAGTTAAAGTAGTAATTTAACATGATCTAATTTACCTAATTCTAATTTTAATAGAAAGATTAAATGGTATTTTTTAAGATTCAAAAAGCAATATTTATTGAAAGAATTAAATAAATAAATATATTAATATTCCTCAATTAATTTCTCTTCTTTTTAAACAATATAAAGCAATTAAATTTTTAAATAGTGTAAATTAGTGAATTTTTTTAACTAAAAAATTGAACTTTTAAAGCAAAATGAATCAAAATTTAAAATAGAATTTCAATGTTGGATGGATATTTAATCAACTTTAAATATTTATTCTCATATACATATTACGGATTTTCTATAAAAAGAGATTATATAATAGATATGCAGAATTATAATTCAAAAGCCAAACATATTTTATCCAAGTAATCCCAAATTTAATTAGCTTTAAATCATAAAAATTAAATGAAATATCACGATCTGTACCTACCTACACAGTTCGTGATATTTTAATTACAGGATTAGCTATATTTGATTTTATATTTTAAGTTTTAAATATATTTATTATCTATCTATTTACTTCTATAAATAATTAGTTTATTGAAAAATATTTTTTAATATCTAGAAATAAATTTGATAAGTTTTGGAAATAAATTAGACATAATCTTACAAGACGTAAATTTACTTACTTATAAAACATCTAACATAACCAAATAAAATTATTTAAATTCAATTATAATTATCTCAGAATAAGAGAGCAAAAATAGCAATAGCAAAAGTTAAAACGAAAGAGGTCATGCTAGAGCTAAGGCAAGCAATAGTAGCATCATACCAAGTTTAGACGTCCTTATTGGTGGAAGTACATTTCTTAACACAGCTCAAAGCATCACTTTAGGAAGAAGCATTATCATCTTTGCATTTTTGTGAGCATTCTTCAATTTTATCTTATTCAGCTAAGCAATCCTTGTCAGTAGTTTAGCAAGGTTCTTTAACTTTCTTAATGCAATCCATATAATCCTTAAACTTATCAAGATCAGCTTAAGATTAGGCACTAACACAAGAAATAGCAATTAAAGCAATTAAAGCGAAGGCAAAGAATCTCATATTTTGTTATAGTTAATTTATTTGTTTATTTATTTATTTAATTAATTTATTAATTATTCCAAAATTGATGTGCAGACACAAGCTTTTTATAGTGTTAGCAACTTAAGAAATATAAAATTATAATATTAAAACTAAGAATTTAGATTATTGCTTTTTTTCACTTTGTTTCTCATTATTAACAAAATTACGTAATATTATATAAAACTAGACTTAACTTAATTGACTATTACAAAGTTTTTCAAAAGGATATATCTATCTATCTATTTATCTAACTACTTTAATTTAATTTAATCTGTTAAAATTAATGATCTATTCTTTTATCTTGAAATACACTATTAATTAATTAAATTTATTAGTTAAAGTAGTAATTAAACATGATCTAATTTATCTAATTATATTTTAAAAAGAAAGACTAAATGGTATTTTTTACGATTCAAAAAGCAATGTTTATTGAAAGGATTAAAATAATATATTGATATTCCTCAATTTCTCTCCTTTTTAACAATATAAAGCAATTATATTTTTTAATTGTGTAAGGGATAAAAATGCATTTGATAATATATAAAATAAAATAAACAGATTTCTAGTAAATATCCAGTATATATATCTATTCGAACAAACAAAAAACAAATAATTAAAAAGTTTGTTTATCATCTTTTGCTTTTCAACTATAAGATTATCTAATTAGAGAGTAATTAATATATTTGTCTAGAACAAACATTTAATTAAGAATTTATTAGGAATTGTTTGATTTATTAAAAAGGTAGAACAGAAAATCTTAGTTAATAATAAATAAAAACCACCAAAATCAAATTTATAATTCTAGCTATATACAGTTGTCACATAACTAACTGATCTATATTTAATTCATGCATTTATTCATTATAAAAAATCTAATACAAATTAGTAAATTTATCTTTGAAAAAGTTAATCAATTGATATTAATACAGAGATAATTGACAATAATTCAGTTAATTTATTAAAAATATTTATTTGAGTATCTTTTCTTTCTTTAAGCAATTTAATTAAAATTTCCTTTTTATTTTAACCACATGTAATATTTTTGCTTCATTGAGTCTTCGATATTTTAAGACATAAATAATTATTTGACCTTCTTACATTTTATTAATAAAATCTATTAATTTTATTCTTTTTTAAGTCAAATTTATTTGATTTAATCAATGTAAGCCATATCTTTCTTTGATCTTTTGTCTCATGTGTTTCACACTAAAAAATTTAAATTATTTAAAAAAAACAAACAAACAAACAAACAAGTAAAGTTATTTAAAGAGATTTTTGCTTTTGAATTAAATATTATAATTTTAAAGATGATTTACTTGAATTAGCATTATGTTTTTTATAAAAATAAATACCATTTATACATTTTTTACTGCTAGTTTTATGACTGTAAACACAACTAATTTTATTAGACGATGTAAGAAAAAAATTAATTTAATAAGAAAAAAGTTGATCAAAATCGAAAAATTTTAAAAATGTTATAGATTAATTGATTGACTCAAAAAAATAAAAAATGAAACTTAATTTAAGATATTTCTAAATACAAAAATATATATTTTGCTGATGATAAAAGTTATGTTTAAATACATTTTATTATATCTCCTTGTAAAGTAACAAAATAACGATAAAATAATCTACAATATAATACTATACAAACAATTTCTTTATAATGTAAGTTTTACTCTTTTTCTTTCTTTTGTAGTTTGATACTGAAGCAATTTCTCAACTATAAGTAAACTGGCAATAAATAGAACAATATTAATCTAAATAAAAATTAATTAGAGAGGATGAAAGGTCTTAGTTGTATATTACTCTTTAATAAAATTAACTCTGGTATTTACCTATAGTACCAAAGTAATTATTTTTTCCTACATTCAAACTAATAATTAAAGTAATTGCTATGTCGCCATATTAATTTATTTGTTTCCTTTAAAAAATATTGAGGATAATTCTCAAATTCACACAATCAATCAATCAATCAATCAATATCTTTTCAAATATATATTTTTTCATACTTAAGTCTTATTCATGTATTAATTAATTAATTTATCCTTTTACTGTTACAGATTAAATATTAAAGCAATCACTATGATACATTTAAACAAATTATTATGTAAAAGAAATCTGTAAATTAGTTCCATTTTTAAATATATTTTTGTTATTTTCTTTAAAAGCCTATCTCTATATATATCTAACTACCTAACTAATTTAGCTTTCTTTGATATTTGTTTAGAAATCCATCTTAAATTAAATGGCTTGAAATCAATATTACAATTGTATTTTAATTGCTATAACAAAAAATTTAATTTTTAAATTAACTTTTCCTTCTTTGTTTGTATATCAATTTTCTGCTTTACATTACATTTATTGAGGATCATTAAAGAAAAATAGACTAAATTAGTTAAATATCTAAATTCGAAAAATGTACTCTGATTATTTTTCATTTGTGGTGAAGAAACAATTATTAATCGTATGATTTTCTTTAAATTAGTAAAGCACGAACATACTTACAAAAATAAAATAGTATTTATTCAAAAATATTTCTGCTTTTAAACTCTACTTTAAATTTTTTTAGTAATTTGTTAAAATGACTAATTTTTGCAAAAAGCTATTAACTAAACCATTCCTCCCTCATTCATTATGTTTACAAATTAATTAGCTAGTACAAATAATTTGCAATTAAAAGTAGCAAATGATAATTCAAAAATATAAATCTCTTAATATTTTATTTGATTATTTTACACTAAAAGCTATCTTAAAGGTTAATCTAAAATAAAAAAATATTTTTATTCTAAACTAGTTTTATATTTTTATTTTCTTTTGAAAATATTCTGAAAAGAGGTTTGCTTTGTTTTGATTTTAATCCTTAAGCTTTTATACTACATCAAATAGTACTAATTTCATAATAATGTAACTAAAATTAATTAGGTCCTTAACTTAGCTTAAATTATGTTTTGTTAGTTTCTTTAAATGCATATCTTATATTTACACAATATTTGTTTCAATATTGATAAAAATTACTTTTCCTCTTTGATTGACTGACTGTTCAAGTTTTTCTGAGCTAACTATTTTTCTAATTAGTAAAGGTTGCGTAAAATAAAATAGAATCTACTCTTTTTCTCACGTTTAAAAATACCATCAAAAAATTTAGAAAACTAGCAATTAGGAAAATTATCATTATCATTCGTAAAGCTAAAAATAAATATCTTAATCAAAAATATTAAAAGAAATTAAAAAAATGAATGAATAAATAAATGAATGAATGTAGCGAATACTAGTAATATTTTAAGTTCATAAGATAGTTAGTCAAAATAATTGCATGAAAACAAATACACATTAAATCTATCAAAAAAGCGTTCAGTATGAATATAACAAATTTTAATTAAGAATTTATAAGAAAATGCTTGGTTACAAAGATTAAGTAAAGTAATTAAAAAAACGCTTAAAAAAAATACCCTTAGTCAAAAATTCAATACAAGTAAAAACTTGATCAAATTAAGCTTGTACTAGCTAACAAACCAATTAGCTAACTAAATAACTTTTCTCTCAATGTTTTTTATCTTAAGACTAAATAATCACTCAAAAAATTATTTCTAAATAAAATGTTAGAAACAAATTTATTTTAAATTATTTAAACATTTATTTAATAATTTTGATTATGTGTTAATAAGAATATTTTATTTTTTTAAAACAATTATCGAAAAAAATTAATTATTTTTACAAAAGCTATCCTTCCTCAAAGTAACATTGATTAGAAAAAAAAAATATTTTTTACAAAATTTATGTTGAATTAAAAAATAAATTTATCTAAAATAAAAAAAACATTAACTTACAAATAAGTATTAGGGATTAAATTAGCATATTTTTTGTAATTATTATAATATAAATTTAAAAATTATATTATCTTAATTTTTATTCAATTAACAAATAAATTTATAAAATAGTAATAATTCATTTTTACCATATTTAACTGTAAATTTAATTAACTAAGTAAAAAATAAATTCAGAAATAATAAAATATTATTTTTATCAATTTAATTTTGAGTATAATTAATTTGAAATATATTTACAAAATATTTTTTAATTAAATGTTATGATTTATCCATCCATCCATAAATTTTTTATTAATTTTCTGGCAAATAGTTAAAAAATAATAATTTTATTATCATTAAAATAAAATAAATTTTACTCTCCAATTTAAATCATTTATTTTTTTTCAAAATGAAAGATAGTAAATTTATATTTTAATAATAGATTTGTAATTATTTACTTATAATGCTGAAAATTTTCAGTAATTAAGTAAGTAAGTAGTAATTATAATTTAAAGATAATTAAATTTGTTTGACATCAAATAAGTATATTGTAGAATGAATAAGTATGTATATAAATGAATGTCCATAAAACTATAAATGATGGAAAAAAAAATATTAATTAAATTTTACAATATATATACCATACAAAATATTTATTATAACAAATTAAACTGTATTATAATTATTTCAGAAAAAAACAGCTAAAGCGCCAATAATGGCAGTAATAGCTAAAATCTTGATACCAGAGTTAGCACAAGCTACTTATTCATCAACATATTTTTATACATCTTTATTGTCAGATTTACACTCTTATTTATAACAATTATAGATACTATCAATAGATTAGTTGCTTTCTGAACATTAATCTGAACAGCTTTCAACTTTTTACATTTCATCTAAGCAAGGTTAGTCTGTAGGTTAGCAAGGATTTGCAATCTTAGATGAACATTCCAAAATTTTAGCAGCCTTTTAAAGATCAGAAGCAGAAATTGTCTAGGCATTAACTGTAGCTATGGCGAGTAAAGTAAGTAAAGCTAAGGTAAGAAGTTTCATTTAGTTTATTAATTTATTACTTTAATTGTTTGATTTTTGCATTCTTTGATTATTACTAAACTAAAAGCGCAAAATCTTCTAATTTACATTCATTGATTGACTTATGATTCAAACGAACAAAGTTGAAATTATAAATTTAACAAACTACGCACTCAGCCAGCTATCTGATAATTTATGAATTATAATTAATCAGTTTCTTTTTTGAATCATTTACTAGATCTAAATTAATTTACTTTTGTAATAAGATATTTCTAAATTTAACTATACATTATTTATTCTAAATTAAGCCGTCCTATTTTCTAGATAATTTCGAAATTTAAAGGGCTGTGTATTTTTTGGGCAAAAAAGATAATTAGGAAATGAATGCCTTAATTAATGAGCATTTACAATGTTTATTATTTAGATGGCATATAAATACTAACTGCACTAAAAAATTAAATCTATATAATTTATCCAATTATTTGATATTTAATCTATGTAAAATAAGCTACTAATTAACTAAATTAATTTTTTTATTTATTTGTAAGCAATTTTGTTTAGAAATAATTACATGAAAAAAATTAAATAAATTGCATTTTTACTCAGCAAAAATAAAAGTTTAGTTTGTTTTAAAGTTTCTTCTTTATCAAAAATAAATTTAGATTTTTTATTGTTATTTTTATGTTTGAAATCATTTTTTTGATTTTACTTTTTAAGTTTTAAATATTTATTACCTACTTCTAAAAAAAATAACTTTGTTTATTTAAAAATATTTCTTTAAATTTAGTAATAAATGATATAGTTTTTGGAAATAAATTAGACATGATATTACAAGACATATACTTATAAAACATCTAACATAACCAAATAAAATTTTATTTAATTCAATTATCTCAGAATAAGAGAGCAAAAAGAGCAATAGCAACAGTTAAAACGAAAGAGGTCATGCTAGAGCTAAGACAAGCCATATTAGCATCATACCAAGTTTAGACGTCCTTATTGGTGGAAGTACATTTCTTCATACAGCTAATAGTACCACTTTAGGAAGAAACATTATCGATTTTGCATTTATCTGAACATTCATCAATTTTATCTTATTCAGCTTAGCAATCCTTGTCAGTAGCTTAGCAAGGTTCTTAAATGTTATTAATGCATTCAAAAATTTTCTTAGCCCTATCAATATCAGCTTAGGATTAAGCACTAACACAAGAAATAGCAATTAAAGCAAGTAAAGCAAGGGCGAAGAATCTCATTTTTGTTAAGTTTTTTTGTTTGTTTATTTATTTATTTGTTTGTTTTTAATTAATTATTTTAATATTGTAGATGATCGATCAGATACAAGTATTTAATAACATTAAAAATTGAAGAAATATGAAACTAATTAAAAAAGTTAGATTTTATCTATTAATTTTATAATTTTGTTTATGATTCTTTACAAAATTAATTAAGTAATATTACAGACTAAAACTAGACTTAAATTAATTGACTATAACTAAGTTTTTTTGATTGGTAATCTTTAACTTAATATGGCCAGTTAAAATAATCTGTTATTTTATATTGAAATACGTAATTAATTAATTGAATTTATAAGATAAAGTAGTTTTTAACATGATCTATCTATCTAATTAAATGATATTTATTTTGTAAGGTTTACAATGATAGGATTAAATAAATAAGTATATTTATATAGAGTATGATGCTCTTTAGATATACTATCTGCACACACATCCAAATTTATTGTTTAAAAAAAAATTTGGAATATATTTTAAAAAAATTTTAATAAAATGTAGTGATTTCTCCATTCATCCATTTTTATTAATTTTTTGGCAAATAATTTTATTAGCATTAGAAATAATAAAAATTTTATTGTAAAATTTAAATAGTTTATTTTTCTAATAAAAAGATAGTAATTTGTAATTTAATAGTAGAATTATTAATATTAATATAATGTTGAAAACTTTCAGTAAGTAGTAATTACAATTTAAGTATAATTAAATCTGACATTAAATAAGTATATGAATGTCTTAAAACTAAAAATGATGGAAAAATATTAATTAAATTTTACAATATATATACCATACAAAATATTTATAATAACGAATTAAACTGTACTATAATTATTTCAGAATAAAATAGCTAAAGCGTTGGCAGCAATAGCGAAAATCTTAATTCCAGAGCTAGCACAAGCTACTTAATTATTCATCAATATATTTTTATACATCTGTATTGTCTGATTTACACTTTTATTTATAACAATAATAGATATGGTCAAGAGTTTAGTTGTTTTCTGAACATTAATCTGAACAAGTATCCATTTTTTTCATTTCATCTATGAACGGTTAGTCTGTCTGTAGGTTAGCAAGGATTTACAATCTTAGATGAATATTCCAAAATTTAAGTAGCTTTTTAAAGATCAGAATCAGAAACTGTTTATGCATTAACTGTAGCTATGGCAAGTAAAGCAAGTAAAGCTAAGGTAAGAATTTCATTTAATTTATAAATCAATGACTTTACTTTCTTGATTCTTGCATTATTTGATTATCACTAAACTAAAAGCGCAAAACCTTCCAAATTATATTGATTGATTTATGGTTCAAAAAAACAAAGTTAAAATTATAATTTTAACAAATTAAGCAGCTAGCTAGCTATCTATCTAATTAATAATTTGTGAATAATAATTAATTAATTCAGTTTCTTCTTAGAATCATTTACTAGATCTAAATTAATTTACTTTTATAGTAAGATATTTCTAAATTTAATTATACAGTAATTATTCTAAATTAATTCAGCCTGTTTTCTAGATAATTTCCAAATTTAAAGGGTTTATCACTGGCTCATATCATAATTTTTTAAATGAATTAGGCTGTAAAATCAAAAGTATGAATATATATATAATTTTCTAAACTCTAAATACAAATAATGAAATATAGTAATTATATGCCAAATAAAAAAACTGACTGATACCATAGCAAAATTAAATTTAAATAATATAACTAACTAATTATTATTAAATCTATAAAAAAATAAACTACTAATAGCTTAAATTAATTTTTTATTTATCTGTTAGCAATTTTGTTTACAAATAATTACATGCAAAAAATGTTTTAAATGGCTTTTTTTTACTCTGCAAAAATAAATAAAAGTCTAGTTTACTTTCAAGTTTCTTCTATTAAAAAATAAATTTAGTTTTTTATCATTTTTTTTAATACCTGAAATTATTTTTTATTTTATATTTTAACTTTTAAGTATCATCTACTTCTAAAATAATAACTAATTAAATAATTAGTTTATTTAAAAATATTTTTTTATATGTAGAAATAAATTAGATAGTTTTTGGAAATAAATTTGAAATAATCTTACAAGAGATATACTTATAAAACATCTAACATAACCAAATTAAATTATATATAATTAAATTATCTCAGAATAAGAGAGCAAAAAGAGCAATAGTAAATGTTAAAACGAAAGAGGTCATGCTAGAGCTAAGACAAGCCATATTAGCATCATACCAAGTTTAGACTTCCTTATTGGTGGAAGTACATTTCTTCATACAGCTCATAGCATCACTTTAGGAAGAAGCATTATCGGTTTTGCATTTATCTGAACATTCATCAATTTTATCTTATTCAGCTTAGCAATCCTTGTCAGTAGCTTAGCAAGGTTCTTAAATGTTATTAATGCAGTCAAAAATTTTCTTAGCCTTATCAATATCAGCTTAGGATTAAGCACTAACACAAGAAATAGCAATTAAAGCAAGTAAAGCGAAGGCGAAGAATCTCATTTTTTGTTACTGTTTATTTGTTTATTTATTTATTTTTTTATTAATTAATTATTCTAAAAAAGAAAAGCAGAAACACGAGCATTTAATAGTCTTAAAAATTGAAGAAATATATAAAACAGTTAGATTTTAGCTATTAATTTTATAATTTTGTTTATGATTATTTACAAAATTAATTAAGTAATATTAATATCAAAAACTAGACTAAATTAATTGACTATAACTAAGTTTTTTCGGAGGATAAACTTTAATTAATTTTACCTGCTAAAATAATCTGTTATTTTATATTGAAATACATGATTAATTAATTAAATTTAGAAGATAAAGTAGTTTTTTCACATGATCAAACTAATTTACCTATTTCTATTTTTAAAATAAAAATTAAATGATGTTTTGTAAGGTTTACAATGATAGGATTAAATAAATAAATATATTTATATAGAGTATGATGCCTTTTAGATATACTTTCCATCAGCACATCCAAATTTTTAGTTAAAAAAATATATATAATGAAGAACATGATATTTTTAAATAGGAATCATGCAAAATAGATTATAAATAAATTAAAATCAATAGTGTATTTTATCTCCTCGTTTTTCAAGGACTTATTTTAACCTTTTGGACATACATAATACAATTATTTGATATTTAATATATGTAAAATAAACTACTAATAGCTTAAATTAATTTTTTTATTTGTAAGAAATATTGTTGAGATATAATTGTATGTATAAAATACTATAAATTGCTTTTTATTCTGTAAAAATAAAAGTCCCTAGTTTACCTTAAGATTCTTCTTTGACAAAAATAAATTTAGTTTTATTAATGTTATTTTTATACATGAAATGATTTTTTTTATTTTTAACTTTTAAATACTTATTATCTACTTCTAAGAAAAATAATTATTTAATTAGTTTATTTAAAAATATTTATTTATAAAGAGAAATAAATTAGATAGTTTTTGGAAATAAATTAGACATAATCTTACAAGAAATATATATATATACTTACTTATAAAATATCTAACATATTAAATTAAATTATTTCAGTATAAGAGAGCAAAAAGAGCAATTGCAAAAGTTAAAACGAAAGAGTTCATGCTAGAGCTAAGGCAAGCCATATTAGCATCATACCAAGTTTAGACGTCCTTATTGGTGGAAGTACATTTCTTCATACAGCTCATAGCACCACTTTAGGAAGAAGCATTATCGATTTTGCATTTATCTGAACATTCATCAATTTTATCTTATTCAGCTTAGCAATCCTTGTCAGTAGCTTAGCAAGGTTCTTAAATGTTATTAATGCATTCAAAAATTTTCTTAGCCTTATCAATATCAGCTTAGGATTAAGCACTAACACAAGAAATAGCAATTAAAGCAAGTAAAGCGAAAGCGAAGAATCTCATTTTTTGTTATGTTTATTTGTTTATTTATTTATTTTTAATTAATTAATTATTCTAAAATAGAAGAGCAGACAGACACGAGTATTTTATAACCTTAAAAATTGAAGAAATATCAAATTAAAAAAACAGTTATTAATTTTATAATTTTGTTTATCATTATTAACAAAATTAATTCAGTACAATTACAAACTAAAACTAGACTTAAATTAATTGACTATGACTAAGTTTTTTCAAAAGGATAAACTTTAATTTAATTCTACCTGCTATAATAATCTGTTATTTTCTATTGAAATGCACAATTAACTAATTAGATTTGTAAGATAAAGTAGTTTTTTTAACATGATCTATCTAATTTACCTATTTCTATTTAAAAAATAAAAATTAAATGATATTTTGTATGAATAAAAATGTAAGGATTAAATAAATAAATATATTTATATAGAGTATGGTACGTTTTAGATATACTATCCATCCGCAAATCAAAATTTTTCCTTTAAAAAAAAACTTATTTTTATAAAATTTTATAAAACGAATATAAAATTGGATACACTGTGAACCCTATTATTCAAGTAGGTATAACAATTTTATTTTATAAAATTTTAGTTAAAATATGAATATATAATTTTCTTAAAGATTAATACAAGTAAAGAAATATACTAATTATATGGCAAATAAATTATCACTGCATTAAAAAATTAAATCTAAATAATATAACTAATTATTTTATATTAAATCTTTGTAAAATATTCAACTAATAGCTTAAATTAATTTTTTTATCTGCATGCAATTTTTGTTGAGAAATAATTTCAAGACAAAAATGGAATAAGTTGTTTTTTACTCTGCAAAAATAAAAGCCTTGTTTACTTTAGAGTTTCTTCTTTTATAAAATCAATTTAATTTTTTATTGTTATTTTTATGCTTGAAATTATTTTTTTGATTTTAAATTTTAAGTTTTAAATATCATCTTTTCTAAAAGTAATTACTAGTTAATTAGTTTATTGAAAACGTTTTTTACATGTAGAATAAAATTAGATAGTTTTTGGAAATAAATTAGAAATAATCTTACAAGAAATATATATACTTACTTATAAAACATCTAACATTACCAAATAAAATCATATATAATTAAATTATCTCAGAATAAGAGAGAAAAAAGAGCAATAGCAAAAGTTAAAACGAAAGAGGTCATGCTAGAGCTAAGACAAGCCATATTAGCATCATACCAAGTTTAGACGTCCTTATTGGTGGAAGTACATTTCTTCATACAGCTCATAGCACCACTTTAGGAAGAAGCATTATCATTTTTGCATTTATCTGAACATTCATCAATTTTATCTTATTCAGCTTAGCAATCCTTGTCAGTAGCTTAGCAAGGTTCTTAAATGTTATTAATGCAATCAAAAATTTTCTTGGCCTTATCAATATCAGCTTAAGATTAGGCACTAACACAAGAAATAGCAATTAAAGCAAGTAAAGCGAAAGCGAAGAATCTCATTTTTTGTTATAGTTTATTTGTTTGTTTATTTATTTATTTATTTTTAATTAATTAATTATTCTAAAATAGAAGAGGAGACAGACACAAGTATTTAATAGCCTTAAAACTTGAAGAAATATGAAATTAAATTAAAAAAGTTAGATTTTAGCTATTAATTTTATAATTTTGTTTATTATTATTTACAAAATTAATTCAGTACTATTACAAACTAAAACTAGACTTAAATTAATTAACTATAACTAAATTATTTCGAAGAATAAACTTCAATTTAATTTACCTTCTTTAATAGTCTGTTATTTTATATTGAAATTCACTATTAATTAATTAAATTTAGAAGATAAAGTAGTTTTTTAAAATGATCTATCTAATTTACCTATTTCTATTTTGTAAGATTTGCAATGAAAGGATTAAATAAATGAATATATTTATATATAGCATGATGCTTTTAGATTTACTATCCATCCACACATCCAAATTTTTTGTTTAAAAAAAATTATATTCATTTTTATTGTTTGATAATTGGCCAAACAATCATTTTAAAATAAAAAAATAAGGTACTTTGCTTAGTATTAAATTGTTTTTAAAATAAAAAAATAATATATTTTGATGTAAAGTTAATTAAAAATGAAAACAGTTTTTTTTTTATTTTTATAAAATTTCATAAAATGAATATAAAATTGAATGTAAGGTCGAAAATTTTATTCTTGTATCAATATATTTTATTTAATAAAATTTTAGTTAAAATTCGCACTGAATTATATCATAATTTTATAAATTAATTTGTCTGAAAAATCAAAAGAATGAATATATAATTTTCTAAACTATTAATAAAAGTAAAGAAATATACTGATTATATGGCAAATAAATAATTACTGCATTGTAAAAATAAATCTAAATTAAATAACTAATTATTTTATATTAAATCTTTGTAAAATAAACTACTAATAGCTTACATTAATATATATTTTATTTTTCTGTAAGCAATTTTGTTTACAAATAATTACATGCAAAAAGGGCTATAAATTGCTTTTTTTACTCTACAAAAATAAAAGTCTAGTTTACTTTAAAGTTTCTTCTTTTCTAAAAAATAATAACTAATTAAATAATTAGTTTATTTAAAAATATTTTTTTATATGTAGAAATAAATTAGATAGTTTTTGGAAATAAATTAGAAATAATCTTACAAGAAATATATATACTTACTTATAAAACATCTAACATAACCAAATAAAATTATTTATAATTAAATTATCTCAAAATAAGAGAGCAAAAAGAGCAATTGCAAAAGTTAAAACGAAAGAGGTCATGCTAGAGCTAAGGCAAGCAATAGTAGCATCATACCAAGTTTAGACGTCCTTATTGGTGGAAGTACATTTCTTCATACAGCTCATAGCACCACTTTAGGAAGAAGCATTATCAGTTTTGCATTTATCTGAACATTCATCAATTTTATCTTATTCAGCTTAGCAATCCTTGTCAGTAGCTTAGCAAGGTTCTTAAATGTTATTAATGCATTCAAAAATTTTCTTGGCCTTATCAATATCAGCTTAAGATTAGGCACTAACAAAAGAAATAGCAATTAAAGCAAGTAAAGCGAAGGCGAAGAATCTCATTTTTTGTTATTGTTTATTTGTTTGTTTATTTATTTATTTATTTTTAATTAATTAATTATTCTAAAATAGAAGCACAGACGTGAGTATTTAATAGCCTTAAAACTTGAAGAAATATGAAATTAAATTAAAAAAGTTAGATTTTGCTATTAATTTTATAATTATGTTTATCATTACTAACAAAATTAATTAAGTAATATTACAAACGAAAACTAGACTTAAATTAATTGATTATAACGAAGTTATATCATAAGGGTCTACTTTAATTTAATTTGACCTATTAAAATTATCTGTTATTTTTACTTGAAATAGACTATTAATTAATTAAATTTTATAAGATAAAATAGTCATTTTTCTATTTTTAAAACAAAAATTAAATCATATTTTATATAATTACAATCAAAGGATTAATAAATATATTTATATAGAGTTAGATTGCCATTTATGATAAGCAAAATTTAGTGTTTTGGTTTTATGAAGATAATTTATAAAAGAATTTAACACTATTTAGAATGATAGAAATGTATTTGATTATATAAAATAAACAGAATTCTAGTAAATATCCAGTATATATTCAAACAAAAAACATTTAAAGTTTCTTTATTACCTTTTACTTTTTAATTAGGCAAAAGATCATCTAATTAGAGAGAAATATATCTGCGTATAGAGTTTAATTAAAGATTTATTAGATTCGTTTGATTAAATGTAAAAAATAGAACAGAAAATCTTACATAAAATAAAATTAAGACCACAAAATCATAAGTCTAGTTAAACACAAATACTGATTTATGATAATATATAATTCATGCATGCATTTATTAATTAATTAAATATAATTGAATACAAATTTATAAATTTATCTTTGAAAAAGTTAATTATATGATATTAATACAGTGATAATTGAAACTAATTCAGTTTGAGTTATTAAAAGTTATTGAGTATCCATGCATAAAACAATTTAATTATGATATCCTTTTCTCTTTAATTGTATTTACCATTTTTGTTTCCTTGAATCTTCTGTATTTGAAGAAATAAGTAAAGCATCTTCACATTCTTTCATTTTATTAATTAGATATTATAAAATATTTACTTTTTTTGTTTTTTTAAACCTTATTTCTTTCCTTTAATTTATGTAAGCCATATCTTTTTCTTTTTGCTTTTTTTTGATGCAATTCGTACTATAAAATTTAAATTATTTTTAAAAAATAAGCAAGCGCAAGCAATCAAACAAATAAACAAGTAAAGCTATAAAAAGAGGTATCTATTTCTCAATAAAATATTTTAATTTTAAAGATTATTTTTATGAATTAGTAGCATTATGTTTTTATAAAAGTAAATAACATTTATGCATATTTTATTACTAGACTTATTACTGTAAATTTAATTAATTTTATCAAATGATGAAAAAAACTTTAATTTGATGAGTAAAATGTTGATGAAAATCGAAAAAATTTTAGATTGATTTACTGAAAAAAATATAAAAATGAAACTAAATTTAAGATTTTTCTAAATTCAAAAATATTTTATTAGTGATGAAAGATAAGATTAAATAAAGTTTATCATATATCTTTATAATAAAATAAAATGATGAAATAACCTACAATCAAACACGTAACAAATAATTTCCTTGAAATCTAAATTTTTTTCTTGCTCTTTACACCTACTTTGTTATGTTACTGAATCAATATCCCAACATAATTTAACAAATAATAAATAAATAGAACAATATTTATCTATAATAATGAAGTAATTAGATCATATGAGTGATCTAATTTTTAGATTACTCTAAATAAAATTAACTGTGATATTTACTTATATTACCAAAGTAATTATTTTTTACTACATTCAATCTTCTTATTAAAGTAATAGTAATTTGTGTATATTTATCTATATTGATTTATATATTTGTTAAATTTAAAAATAAAATATTGAGGATAATTCTGAAACCCACACATTAAATATCTTTTCATATTTATATTTTTTCATGCTTATACTGTATTTATTAATTTATACTTTTACTGATACATATTAAATATAAATGGAACTTATCTTATTAACTATGACTCATATTATAATTTTATAAATTAATTTGTAGGCTGAAAAATGAAAAGAATGAGTATATAAATTTTCTAAACTGTAAATACAAATAAAGAAATATATTAATTATAAAGCAAAAAAATACTTACTGCATCGTAAAATTAAATATAAATAATATAACTAATTCTTTTATATTAAATCTATGTAAAATATTCTACTAATAGATAGTTTAAATTAATTATTTTATTTGTAAGTAATTTTTGTTTAGAAATAATTGCATGTAAAAAATGGTATAAATTCCTTTTTATTCTGCAAAAATATAAGCCTATTTACTTTAAAGTTTGTTCTTTGATAAAAATAAATTTATTTTTTTTATTTTTTTGATTTTATATTTTAACTTTTAAATATTTATTATCTAATTCTAAAAAATAATAACTAATTAAATAATTAGTTTATTTAAAAATATTTTTTTATATGTAGAAATAAATTAGATAGTTTTTGGAAATAAATTAGAAATAATCTTACAAGAAATATATATACTTACTTATAAAACATCTAACATAACCAAATAAAATTATTTATAATTAAATTATCTCAAAATAAGAGAGCAAAAAGAGCAATAGCAAAAGTTAAAACGAAAGAGGTCATACTAGAGCTAAGGCAAGCAATAGTAGCATCATACCAAGTTTAGACGTCCTTATTGGTGGAAGTACATTTCTTAACACAGCTCATAGCATCACTTTAGGAAGAAGCATTATCAGTTTTGCATTTATCTGAACATTCATCAATTTTATCTTATTCAGCTAAGCAATCCTTGTCAGTAGTTTAGCAAGGCTCTTTAACGTTTTGCATGCATTCATAAATTTTCTTAGCCTTATCAATATCAGCTTAAGATTAGGCACTAACACAAGAAATAGCAATTAAAGCAAGTAAAGCGAAGGCGAAGAATCTCATTTTTGTTATTGTTTATTTGTTTATTTATTTATTTTATTTTATTTTATTTTTTTTAATTAATTATTTTAAAATAGAAGCGCAAACACGAGTATTTTATAGCCCTAAAAATGGAAGAAATATGAAATTAAATTAAAAAAGTTAGATTTTAGCTTTTAATTTTATAATTTTATAATTTTGTTTATCATTTATTATTAACAAAATTAGTTAAGTAATATTACAAACGAAAACTAGACTTAAATTAATTGATTATAACAAAGTTATTTCAAAAGGGTCTACTTTAATTTAATTTTACAAGATAAAATTATCTTGAAATACACTACTAACTAAGTTACCTATTTCTTATTTTAAACTAAAATTCAATGATATTTATGTATGATTTACAATGAAAGGATTAATATATATATTTAAATAGAGTTAGATACCATTTCAATATATATGATATGCAAAATTTAGTGTTTTGATTTAATAAGATAATTTACAAGTTTTTTGGATATTAAAGAGAGAATTATTGAAAAAGATTATATTTTTTTTCTTCAGAATGTAGAATATAAATGGTATATATAAATGACATGTTTTTAAGGATAAAATTTTAACATTTTGAAGGGTAGAAGTAGATTTTATATTATAAAATATACAATTACTAGTAAATATCCAGTATGTATGCAAACAAAAGCATAAAGTAAAAAATTCTTTATTATCTTTTGCTTTTAACTAGAATGAAGATCATCAAATTAGAGAGTACTGTTTATAACATTTAATTAAGAATTTATTAGATACATTTAATTTATTGAAAAAAATAGAACAGTTAATCTTACTAAAGTAAAATAAAGACCACCAAAAACAAAAATCATAAGTCTAGCTAAACGCAGTTTGCTCATTTAACTGATATATATATATAATTCATGCATATATGCATTTTTTAATTAATTAGATATAATCTAATACCAATTAATAAATTTATCTTTGAAAAAGTTAATTATATAACATTAATACAGTGATAATTGAAACTAATTCAGCTTAAGTTATTAATAATAATTGAGTATCCATACTTTAAATAATTTAATTATAATTTCCTTTTCATTTAAGCTAGATATACCATTTTTTTTTTCTTGAATCTGCTATATTTTAAGAAATAAGTAAGTTATTATCTATCTTAAAATTTCTACATTTTATTAATTAGATATTAATAAAAATAAGTACTTTTTTTGTTTTTTTAAACAATATTTTTTTCATTTCATTAATGTTAGCCATATCTTTCTTTTCGGTTTTGCTAATGACTGTAAATTTAACTAATTTTATTATATGAACAAATTTAATTTAATAAGAAAAAAATTGATCAAAATCGAAAAAAATATTATAGATTGATTGATTAATAGACTTAAAAATATAGATAAATGAAACTAAATTTAATATTTTAGTAAATCCAACAATATTTTAATAATGATAAAAGATATTTTTAATTAAATATAGATTGTTTATGATATATCTTTGTAAAATAATAAAATAAAATGAAAAAATAATATACAATCAAATTAGTGATAAACAATTTCCTAAGATGTAAATTATATACTTTTTCTTTACTACCTACTTTTTTACTGAAGCAATTTCAAAACAATAAGTGAACAAATAATAAATAGAACCAAATTAATTAGGAAGGATGAGTGATCTGATTTTAGATTATTCTTTAATAAAGATAACTTAGATATATACTAATAGTACCAAAGTAATTTTTTTACTTTATTCAATCTTCATATTAATGTAATCGTCATTTGTCTATATTTATCAATATTCATTTATTTATTTGTTTACTAATATTGAGGATAATTCTGAAACCGACACAATCAATATCATTTCATATCTATAATTTTTTCATGCCCATGCTTAAGTGGTATTTATTTATTTATTAATTTTTCCACTTACTGTTACAGATCATATATAAAACTAAGCATAATGGTAAAATTAAGCAAATTATTATTTAAAATAAATCAATATTTAAGTTCCATTTTCAAATATTTTTTAGCTATTTACTTTAAATACCAATCTATCTATATAACATTTAACTAACTTAACTTTCTTTGAAATTCATTTTTTAATCTATCCATCTTAAATAAAAAAACATATCATTAATATTACAAATGTATATTAATTGCTATTACAACAAATCGAATTATTAAATTAACTCTTGTTTCTTTGTTTATCTATTAATTATATGCTTTAAATACAATTAATATCAGTTATTGAGGATCGCTTGAAAAGAAAAAAAAACATACTAAATTTGTTAAATAAATGAGTTCGCAATATATTTTCTGATTATTTTTTTTGTTGAAGAAATAACTATTAATCATATGATTTTTAGTAAGTTAGTAAAATTCAAATATTCTTACAAAGATATTTCTGATATTAAACTATGCTTTAAAATATTTTTTTAATTTGTTTAAATGAATAATTTTTGCAAAAAGTTTTTAACTTAATTAACTGTTCACCATAATGTTTGAAAATTAAATAGCTAGCAGAGAACATTACATCCGGGATATTTTGTCACAGAGTAAGATATGGGAAATCTTACTCGTTTTATATTTTATTTTTTTAATTTTACATACCTTTAAATATCCATATATTTGTTTTATTTTATCAGTATATTCAAACTCAGTTTAATTTTTAAACAAATTTGAAAATACTTATGTTTGATAATTATTATTTATTGTTCGCATTCCCAATATCCTTTATATTTTAAATTAAAGCATTTGTAATATTTCTAACTAAAAGCAAATTTATCAATTCATATTTGATTATTATTATTTATTTTTTCATTTTATCAAAATTAATATCTATAAATTGATTGCTATTCAATATTTTTGAAAAAAGAATAAATAAATGATTTAATAGAAATAATATTTTAACGATCTATAAAAAGTAATAATATATTTTTTTATCAAAATTCTTCAAATTAATTTTATTAATAAAAAAAGTTTATAAGCTCCTAACTTTAATCTCATTAGGTTCTCTGTATTAATATTAATAGGTAGGTATATTTAATTTATTAATATAATTATTATTTATCTTTTATTATATTTAATTTTCAAGTTATTTACTATATTTTTTTCTATAATTAAACTAATTTTTTCATTTTCAGCTTTTGATTCTTAATTAATTTGTTTCATATTTTTTTTTCATTTTTCTTCCTTATAATTAATTATATTTTTTTCTTCAATATTTAAAAAGGTCGAATGAAATTGGTGATAAAGTCTCATCACATTTAGGCTTTGCTTTAACAAAGTGTATTAATCTCTCAAATTTAACACTTTTTCTTAAGTAAAAACAATTTATTTGTTTTGGATTATGATATTTTTTTAATATAAAAATGAATTTAAAATAATATAACTATCTAACTAACTAACTCTTTTAATTTAATTATTTATTAAATTTTGTTTGATTTATACTCTGCTTATGTTTTTTCATTTCTTTCTTTGTTAATTTAATACATTTTTTCATTTTCTACTTTTAATTATTATTAATTAATTCATTTCTATTTTTTATATTTTTTAATCAATTTTTCTTTCTTTCAAATTATATTTTGTCTTCAATATTTAAAAAGATAGAATTAAATTGGTGTAATTGGTATATAAGAATTAGGTTCTGGTTTAGCATAGTGCACTAATCTCTCAAATTTGATACTTGACCTTGAGTAAATAGAGCTTATTTGTTTTAATATATAATGAATATTTAAAATAATATAACGAACTCAATTAATTTATTTATTTTTCTTTTTTATTCTGCCTGAATTTTTTCTATCTTTCATTGTTAATTTAACTAATTTTTTCATTTTAAACTTTTTTTTTTTTTAATTTGTTTCATATTTTTTTATTTTTTCTTTGCTTTTTTATTTCCTTATAAATAACTAATGAATTATATTTTTTTCTTAATTATTTAAAAAGGAGGAATAAAATTGGTGATGAAGGTTCATCAGATTTAGGTTCTGCTTTAGCAAAGTGCACTAATCTCTCAAATTTAACCCTTGATCTTAGGTAAGTAAATACAGTTTATTTGTTTTGATTATGATATTTTTTAATATAAAAATGAATTTAAAATAATATAACTAACTCTTTTAATTTATTTATTTATTTATTAGCTTTTAATTAAATTCATTTTGTTTTTCTTTGTTAATTTAATTCATTTTTAAATTTTGCTTTTATTATCAATTAATTAATTACTTATTTTTCATATTTTTTCTCCTTCTTCCTAACTTTCTTTCTTTTAATTAACTAATTAATTTTTTATTTTTTTTCAATATTTAAAAAGGTGGAATTTTATTGGTGATAAAGGTATGTCAAGCTTAAGTTCTTGTTTAGTAAAGTTTACTAATCTTTCAAATTTGACAATTGACCTTAGGTAAAAATAGTTTATTTGTTTTGGATTTTGATATTTTTTCAAAAAAAAATAAATTTAAAACAACCTAACTTATTCTTTTAATTAATTTATCTATTTAATTATTAGCCTTTTATTTGATTTATTTTTCTTTTTCTTTTTTATTTTACTTGTGTTTTGTTTTGTTTTTTTCTTTTTTTTTAACTAATTTTTTCATTTTAAACTTTTGCTATTATTATTAATTATTAATTCGTTTCTAATTTTTTATACATTTTTTCCTTCTAAATAACTAATAACATATACTTTTTCTTCAATCTTTAAAAAGTTACAATTATTTTAGTGATGAAGGTACATCAGGATTAGGTTCTGGTTTAGCAGAGTGCACTAATCTTTCATTTTTGAAACTTCATCTTAAGTAAAAATAGTTTATTTGTTTTGGATTGTGATATTTTTAATATAAATATTAATTAATTTAAAATAAAACTCTTTTAACTAATATATTTACTTTAGAGCTTTTTATTTAATTTATTTTTATTTTGCTTGTGTTGTTTTTTTCTTCTTTCTTTATTAATTTAACTATTTTTCTTCATTTTTTAAAAAGTTGGAGTTATATTGGTGTAATTGGTGTGTCAGGTTTATGTTCTGGTATAGAAAAGTGCACTAATCTCTCAAATTTGACACTTGCTCTAAAGTAGATAAAGTTTATTTGTTTATGGAATGTGATATTCTTTAATATAAAATGAATTTAAAACAAAATAACATATTAACTAACTAACTAACAAACTACCTAACTCTTTTAATTTATATATTTTTTTACGATTGATTTATTTTTATTTTTTATTCTGCTTTTGTTTTTCTTACTTTCTTTTTTAAATTATATAATTTTTCATTATCAACTTTTGCTTTTATTATCAATTAATTACTTATTTTTCATATTGTTTCTCCTTCCTTCCTTCTAATTAAATAATTATATTTTTTTTCTACAATATTTAAAAAGCTGTAATTTAATTGGTGATGAGGGTGCATCAGGCTTAGGATTTTGTTTAGTAAAGTGCACTAATCTCTAAAATTTGAAGCTTCGTCTTAGGTAAAAATAGTTTATTTTTTTAGATTATAATATTTTTAGATGTAAATTAATTTAAAACTATCTAACTAATTCTTTTAATTAATTTATTTATTTATTAACTTTTAATTTGATTTACTTTTGTTTTTCTTTTTTGTTCTACTTTTATTTTTTCATAACTAATTTTTTAATTTTCAATTTTTGCTTTTAGTATTAATTAATTAATTCATTTTTTATTTTTTCTTCATTTTTCTTTCTTTCTTTCTTCCTTCCTTCTAATTAATTAATTAACTAACTAACTAACTAACTAACTATATTTTTATCTTTAATATTTTAAAAGCCAGAATCAAATTGGTGTAGAATAGAATAGAATAGAATACTCGCACATAAATATGCACTCAGAATACATCTTAAACAATTAGTTTTATAATAGTTATATAAATTTAAATGTGTTTATATTTTTTATTTTTTGACTTACTCAGAATTTATTAGAAAAGTTAGGATAGACAAATAAAACCTCGACCCTCGACCCTCGACCCTCGACACCTCGGAACCTCGACCTTTACGGGGGCTTTAATTTAAATTTTCTTAAAATACCCCTATAGTAAATTTCGATACAAAAATCTTTCAACAGATTAAAAAGTTTACATCTAAAATATTTATTTCCCTCCCTTCATCATTTGACTAAAATAAAAGAAAAAGATCTACTAAGTAAAAATTATTTTATTTAATTTTTAGTACTGTAATTACTAGAATTTTTTGAATATATGAATATTAAATACTACTTAAAAATTATCCTAACTGTCTTTAAAAACACCTGAACTAAACTAATAAAGCTAATTGAAAGATATCTTATAATAAAATTCATAAGCCATTTAAGATATTGAATAAAAATAGAAAGATGTAGAAACATAATTATTCTCATAAATTAACCAACAAGTAGATACATAAGCCTTTTCATAAATAAACTAATAAATCGGAGATATATTTATCTATGATCTAAAAATCTTAAGAAGAAGAATCATCCATACAACAGGAGAAATAACTACAACTTCACGAATGGAAGGAATAGATCTAATGTTTAATATAACTAAAGGATATCCTTCATATGAAAAGAAACTAAATATAGAAATGATGCCAGATAAATACTTAATAGAAATGGATCATATCAGATTAAAAAATTGATCTAAAATAATAAGTGTTTATCAACCAATATGGACTTAACGATAGATACTTAATTACCGATTAAAAACCCAATATTGAGATAATCACATCAGAAAATATATATAAAGTATTAGGCCCTGAAAATATAATATTTCTTTTACCTTATGGCACAGAAGAGTAAGAAATCAATAATATATAATCTCTATATATATATGATTTAAAAACATAAAAGATAATAAAAAAACCTAATAATGACAATTATCCTACTATGTTTCTCAAAGCAACAACTGACAAAAATTACTATTTTGAGTGGAAAGCAGATACAAATGAATCCCAGATGATAATTAACGGACTCAAAAATGGTGCACAGTAGAAGTTGGTTCCAATAAATTAATTAATATTTAATTTTTAAAAATTTAAAAAGGAAAGATTATAACTACACCGAAGTATCAAGATATAGACACGAACACCATCATGAAGTTGCAAGGAGAAATATCATTTATCTAGAAATATATCTGGATATGAAAATACATACAATAAATTAATAAAATTTACTTACAAAGAAAGTAAAATAAAAGTAATTTTATGTTGTATGTCATAGTACAGTATTTGAATTTTCGAATATATGAATACTAAATATAATAATAATTAATATAATTATTTGTTCTTTTTATCCAAATTGATTTGAAATAAAAGTATATTAATTAATTTTTTAATATACTTATCATTAATCAATTAATTAATTTCCATAAATTGCTATTTAATATTTTTGAAAAAAGAATAAATAAATGATTTAATAGAAATAATATTTTAACGATCTATAAAAAGTTATCATATATTTTTTATCAATATTCTTCAAAGTAATTTTATTAATAAAAAAAGTTTATCAGCTCTTAACTTTAATCTCATTAGGTTCTCGATATTCATATTAAATGGTATATTTAATTTATTAATATTATTATTTTCATTTTATTTATTATATTTCATTATCAAGTTACTTACTCTTATTCTAATAGAAATTATCATGGATATTCATTCATTTTTATTTATACTAAAATTTATTAATTTCTTTATATTCCATATTTTTTCTTCATTTTTTCATTGCATCCTTTCTTCTAATTAACTAATTAATTATATTTTTTTCTCAACTATTTAATAAGGGATAATGAAATTGGTGACGAAGGTGCTTCAGGTTAGGTTCTGCTTTAACAAACTGCACTAATCTCTCAAATTTGACACTTGATCTTAAGTAAAAGCAAAAAATAATGGAAAATTATATTTTTTAGACAAAAGTTTAGATGAACAAAAAATTACAAAATATAGAAAATATTTAAAACATTTTTAATATGAAGATATATAGCTGTTCCTGCATTTAAAATATCACAGATCATGATATAATGATTTGTGATATTTCAAATAATTTTTATATTAATTATGAATATTTTTTTTTTTTAAATTCTAATTTATTTGTTTATATTTGATTTCTTATATTTTACAAAAATTAATCAAAATACTAACAGAAACCTTTTTTCAAATTAATTTTGAGAGTAAAAAAATTTTTTTAAAGCTTTTTTGAATTTAGAATAAACTTAGTAAAAATTTAAAAAATAAATATAAAGTAAATAATTAATTAAGATGTAGAACTAGAAAATTTAATCAGTAATACATATATTAGTCATATGAAATATCACAAATCATAGCTAATTAAAATTTCGCACATCATAAATAATATTTTTAAAAACTAAAAATTAATAATTAAATATATTCTGTTATTAATATTTACATTTGTTAGTAAAATAAAGAAAGATTAAAAGATTTTAATAATTATAAAAATTTTAGTCAGTAAAGAAGTAAACAAAATTAAATATAAAATTGCTAAAATAAAAGATTTTAATAATTAATAAAAATTTCAGTAAGTAAATAAGTAAGCAAAATTAAAGGAAATATTGCTAAAACATATTAAAATAGATAGAAATATGTATAAAAATTCATTATATTTAATTTAAAATAAATTATTTTAAGATATTTATAAATTAAATAAATTTATCATAGTATGAAGCTAATAAATTGTAAGACTAAAATAACAGCTAATAAATTCTTATTAGTAGTACTTGCAGTTCCTTAGTTACCTGCTTAGCAAACCCAATTACTAGCAGCAGTTGCAGTTTGACCATCTGAACATGCAGCAGAGCAGCTAGAACCATTTAGTAAATTTCCTGCAGCTACTTTTGAACCAGCAACTCCATTGCAAGAATTACAGATCCAACCATTAGGAGTTTAACCACTTGCACCAGCTCCATTGACTCCACAATCTGCTACTTTGCAATTATTTCCTGACACATATTTGAATAAATTTTGAACAGCTGTTGTAGATCCACAACCACTGCAAGTTGATCCATCTGTAGAGCAAGCAACAGGATTACCTGATGGTATCTAAGTACAAGACCATCCAGTAGCAGCATTTGCATAATAACCGGTAGGACAGGATGCAGAGCAAGTACTACCATTCAATTAAGCTCCTGCTCCAACTGCTGTTCCAGTAATTCCATTACAAGAATTACAAATCCAACCATTAGGAGTTATGCCACTTGCACCAGCTCCACCTGCAGTGCAATCTGCTACTCTACAATTATTTCCTGATACGTGAGTGAATAAATTTTGAACACCTGTTGTAGATCCACAACCACTGCAAGTTGATCCATCTGTAGAGCAGGCAACAGAATTACCAGGAGCAGCAGCTTGAGTGCAAGTCCAGTTATTAGCTGCATTTGCAACTTTACCTGCATCACAAGAAGCAACGCAAGTAGAGCCATTAAACTATGCTCCAGCTGCCACACCTGAATTTTTGATTCCATTGCAAGATTAACAAATCCAGCCATTAACTGCAACTCCTGATGCTCCAGATCCACTTACTGTGCAATCTGTTACTTTGCAGTTATTTCCTGAGACATAAGTAAATTAATTTTAAAGTGCTGAAGTAGACCCACAACCTGAGCAAGTTGATCCATCAGTAGAGCAAGCGACTGAATTACCTGGAGTAACAGGGATATTTGTGCATAAATTATTAGTAGAATCATCAGCATATTAGCCTGATGGACATGATCCCACACACATGTTATTTGATGTATCTACATATATTCCATTTCCTAAAATAGTGCTTGTTCCTGCACATGATTTACAAACCCAAGTATCTATAGGAAAAGCTTTTGGAACTAATGAATTACAATTTTTATATTAGCAATCTGATCCTGATATATATGTAAAAGCAAGATAGAGATTAGGATTTATTTAACTGCCACAAGTCGAACAATTAGAACCATTACCACAAGCAACTGAATTGCCTACCACTAAATCTGCTGCTAAAACGACTGAGAAAGTGCATAGCAAAATTATCTAAACAGCTAAAATATATTTCATTTTTTTAGTTTTTAGTTTTTAGTTTTTTGTTTTAAGATTTATTTTGATTAATATTTTTTATATTAATTCAAGCTATCCTCAAATCTTTTAAAAATAGTAGATCAAAATAAATAAGCCAGTAAGATTATTAAGCTTTAAAAAGAAAACAAAAATTAATTAAAAAATTTTAAAAACCAAATAGGGAAAAGGAAAAAAGCGGGTAAGTAAAGAAAAACCAAACCATCAGCAATCAATCAATCAAATTAATTTTTTACTAAAAATAATTAGCTAAAACTTAAGTTAAATCACTGAGTTATAATGTACAAAAGAAAATTGATTGATCATTATTATACTAAAATAAAGTATTTTAGAGATATTATAATTATTTGATTTCATATAACTCTTTAGATTAATATTGAAATAAATCTTTTTATCTATCAAAAATATTTTTTTGCAACCTATACTTTTTTTATATTTTAACATTATGAAACCTTTTGATTTTTTAGAATTCAAGAAGCGATTATAATTTGCTGAAAATAAAAGAGCTCATAATAAAATGTTAAATAATTTATTTAAGAGCTCTGTTTATATATACCTATCTACAATACAAATAAAATAATCAAAGATAAATAAATAAACAATTTTTAACCTTAGTGATTGATTAAATTAAACTTTTTTTTATTCTTAAAAAGCAAAAAATAAGCTAGCTTATCGTTAGGTTAATTGATAAATATAGTAAATAAACATTTAGATAAATCTGATTAAATCTTAATGACAAAAAAATTTGATAATGTTAGTAAGTAAATAAATAATTAATCACAGTAATTTAAAATTTCATGGGAAGTCATTCAGCCTTTCTAAAAATAGTTAATTAGTAAGCAATCCAGCCAGCCAAAAATTCTATTTTTGATGAAAGTTCTTTTTAACTTTAAGATAGGATAAATAATTAATGTACATAAACAGATTAGAAACAAAATATGTTTTTTTATTATTCTCATCATAAAAAACTCTAGATCGAATAAATATATAATTCTAAATAAAATATTATTAAAAAATAAATGTATTTTTCAGAACTTTTTAAAATTCATGTGCTATTTATATATTTTGAGGGGAAAAATAATCTAATTCATGTATAAATTAATTCGCGCATAATACAGCAGCAATTTAAAATAACACTTTACATTTTAAACAAGAATATAATTCATCATTTATAAAACAAGCCTTATTTATCACATATTTCATTTCAATACCAACATTATATATATATATATATATATATATATCAAAGATATATTAATGTATGAATGGAATGAATAAATCATTTATTTTAGGGTAAATAAAAATTTGAAATACTTCGGAATAATATATTTATTTTCAAAAGAAAATTAATTACATCATAGATTTAAATAAAAATATGATTGATTTTTATATAAGTTATTTAAAAATAAATTGGCTGTAGTAGAAAAGAATAAAATTTTGTCTTTCTTTTGTTTATTTGTTTATTTTAGAGTTATATTCATTAAATAGATCAGTATAGTGAGGATTATTTTTTTTCTAATTACATTCATATGTGATATGTGGAGATTTTTTGATTGTTTCTAAATTAAAAAGCTAAATAAATATAACATTTAAATTTCTTATCCATCAAATTAAAAAGTGTATTTAATAGAAAGCATTTTCGTATTCTTAATTTAAATTGTTTGTTGTATTTAATTACACTTTTTTCATGATACTAGTTATTTATTTATTTAAATTTAGATAGAAATTGAGTTCTACCATAAATCGATCAAATGAGTTGCGAATTTAAAAAAATTAAAAAGGTACCTAAGTTACTTACTAATTTCAATAAAGGAATTGCACAAAAATTTATCTATCACAAAGAAGGTAATAAAGGGAATGAATGTAATTAACTTTACAAATTTATTTTATAAACAAAGTATATGAATCTCATTGATTATATGTTTTTTGTAAAAACTGAAAGATATATATTTCACTCATAAAGTAATTATAAATAACCTCACCATACAGTAAAATAAATGGTATTCAAAAAATATAGTCACTTGGAAACAAATAGATAAGTGAATCACATTTTTTATTTTTTTTAAAGTTATCTAATCAGCTTTTTAGCTTAGTTAAGTTAAGCGGAAAGTAGAAGTTCATAAAGCAATTAAATTGGATTAAATAAAAATCTATAGTATTTATTGGGTTGGATCTGGGGCTAATCAAAATAAAATTTAGCATTTCTGGGGTAGAGTATCCCAGGCCCAACCTAAAAAGCTTAATTTTTTACATAATGAACCCTAAAATATCATTTTCTATTATATATTTTATTCAATCTGATTTAATCACTTTTTGAACTTTTTTATTTCTACTTCAGCTAAAAAATTAATTAACTAGACATAAACATATGTAATTAAATATCACTCACTTACCTAGTTGTTTACAAAGACTATATTTTTGAAAGCTATTTTGCTCTCTACTAAAGTAAATATTAAAATTCTTCACTTTTGATAAATAATGTAAACTAGAGATGCGCATTAAAATTAAATCATCTATCAATAAGCAAAGATGTTTTGTTCTATAAATACGCTTTGACTCTCTCTAAATATTTTAATCCTTAATTGATTTATAAATTCAAAGTTTTCCATAATTAAAGTATTAATATTAATATTTTTTTTTTGTCCTCATTAAGGTTTGTTACGTTAGAAAGTAATCTCAAGCGTGAATAAAAAGAAGAGAAGTAATAATAGTATAATTCAAAGCAATACTTATGGTTAATAATTTGCAAATTATTTAAGTGACTTAACAGGTTAATAAATTGCACAGTTTATAAAATTAGTAAACTCAAAATAAATCAGCCAGTGTATTTATTAATTATTAATCAGCATAGTTTTTATTTACACAAAATTAATATCAAAATTAAATTTTTTTAGGTAGTTTTTGGAAGCATAAAAATTTAAATTATTAAAGCAAATTTAAGTTCATTTCTACATTCACTAAATAGATAATTTTCTGCTTTTAAAATATATTAAAATTTAACTACAACGAAGTGCATTATTCTTAAGATATTAAAAATTAAATTTTAAACTTTGAAAACCATTGAAATTAAAGACCACAAAAGATTTATTTGGAAATTATTTAATACTTTTTCTATGATATCCTAGTTTATTTAATTTATATCATTTGCAAAGAAGTATTAAAGTAAACTAAAAAAGTTAATCAATAAATTAATTTGTTTAATAATATTACTTTCTTATTTTAATTAGCTAAAAATACAGCAGATATTTAATTATCAATTTTTTACAAGTAATTTGATAGCAATTGTAGTAAATTAAACCTTGAAAAAATGCTGTATTGTTGATATTGACTGAAACAATTGCTTATTTATAAACAAGTAAGTAAATACAAAACTTTAAAAGAAACAATTTTTTAATAAATTCTAGGAAATATTCATATTATGTGAGCTGTTTTTAACTTTAACTTTTAAAAAGTAAAGTCCTACTTTAATTCAAAATAGCAAAATGCAAGTTAATTTAAGTAAGTCAAAAAGAAAAACAAATGAAAAAAGTTTTAGAATAAAATTGATTTTATCTATTGAAATACTAAGTAAAAAGCACATAATTTACTCTTTATACATGTATATGTAAAATTAGAATACAATCATTTATTTTATAACTTTAATTCTATTTTATCTTTACGCTTTAGTGCTCTTTTGTATAAATAATAATATTAATAATATTAATGATATCTTTAGCTCTTTAAAGAGTTGCACTGATAACTTTCAAATACTTATTAAAATAAAATATATCTATCTCATTTTGCAGATGATTCTGAAAATTCCACTTTTTTAAATACTATTTTGTTAAGTTTCTTGTTTACAGGCTGCTTATTTATTTGTTTAATAATCTAAAATCTATTATCATTTTTTGTTTTTAAGATTGAAGTCACTCAATCAAAAAATGAATGAAATAAAATGTATTATTTTGCATAAACAAATATTCATTATCATCTTTTGTTAAAAATGTACTCTAAATTATTGATTTCGCAAATAAAAAACTAATTAAACTAGAATTTATTTAATAAATGGATTCTTTTTTATCTCATGTTGTTTGAAGAAAAATCAAATTTAACATACTATTTCTGCAATTAAATTATTAGATAATAATTTATAAATAGAAATGCTTAGTTGTTCTTACTTATATTTTCATTACGAATTTATCTAAAAATAAATGAAAATTTCTTTTTAAGAATAATAAGTAAGTAAGTAAGTAAGTAAATATATTTCTTTCAATCTCTAAGAATTATTACAAATTAATTTAGATTAATATTTTGTTGTCTTTTAATAGATAAATAACATTTCCTTTAAATAATTTTTAAATTTCTTAATGAATTTTATTACTCTGATAGCTAGCTAGACAGCAAGTTAGTTAGTAAGACCTAAATGTTTTCCTTTTTCTTATTAAATGGTATATTAAATAGTTTCTTATGCAATTTAACTATCATAATTAATAACTAGAAGAAAAAATTGGTTTTTATTTTTATATTTCAAAGTATTCTTTGATCCCTATTTAATAAATATTTTTCACTATCTATCCTATCTATGCTATTTTAATCTCTTAATCCATTTGATATTATTAAACTCTAATCTCTAAATTTCTTTTTTAAATAAATTAATCACACTCTCAATCCGTCTTTTATGTTAAAGAATTGTTTGCTACAAAGTAAAAATTTGATTTGTTTTCCAAGCAATCCATAAAATAGAGGGGGTATTTATGATTGATTGATTAATATCAAAGAATTTCAATATCATTTTGGGATAACATAAAAATTTTAATTTTTTATTGATAATATGTTGACATAATTTCCCTCACTAATAATATTTATTTATTTTCAAATTTTTTAAAAATTAAGCTCTATATAAGGTACATCCATCATCCATGTATAAAAATGAGAAAGGTTTTAAGAAATGAATAATTTGATTTTAAAAATCATTTTTTGGAATAAATTAGCATATTCCTATT